ACGCTTTGGGTTTAAACAAATGCAACCAAGTGCCAGTAATAAAGTACCATGGCTCCATTTTAGTGTAACTCACTCATATGTATACCAGGTTGAATTGCTGAGCAAGACATCCAACAGCTGTAGGCCTATGTCTACTAGGAGGATGGTGGTTAACCTGCTTGCCACAAAGTTTTTTTTTCATTGGGGGACCGAGCAAGGCAGATTTTGGAAAGGCTAAACCAAACAAGTGCATCTCTTGGTAAGTTTTAATGTAGGATAATTAAATCTTAACCTAAATGGCTTCGCCAATTATTGGTATCAGCCCTAAATGAAAGAGTTGAATTAAAAAAAAAAAAAAAATTTGTCTGGATGTCAATGTATGTAGTAGAGATATCTAACTCATTTATGTTTTACCAGGTGGATTGCTGAACAGCATGGGTGAAAGATTTCTACAACAGTACATCTACAGCAGATGTAACTACAGTAGTAACTAGGAGGATGGTGGTTGAACTAATTGCTACAACATTTTTCCATTCAGAAAAAAATATGGGGACCGAGCAAGGCTAAACCAAACAAATGCAAATGTTGGTAAGTTTAATGAAATTACATCCGTACCTACATGGCTTTGCCAATTATTGGTATCAGCCTAAATGAAAGAGTGAGTTGAAATGCATAAACTTGTTTGAATTTCAATGTAATAAAGATGCAATCTTGTTTTTTACAATTGTTTAAAGGGAACGGAAAAATCAGTTGTTTGATCTGGGTAACTATTATTAACCAATTAAACTAAAAATTTGAACAAAAAAAAATCAACTGCATTTTAATTATTTACAGCTTGCAGGCTAATTAAAAGTGTAATTCAAAATAGTTTTTATTTAAAAAAAGTTTTATTTAGGCCTAATTAATTAGTTAATAATATCTACCTATATCACTAGTGGTGATCTATTAAACTCATTGCTACATTGTTGTCTAATGTTAAACATAGACTAAACATTCATAATAGCTCAATAGACATAACAGTAAATGATATAGCCTACCTAACTTATATAATATCTAACAGATTAGCCTACCTGAGACGGGTAACCATTAGCTTCAGTAGAAATATTTTTGTCTTAGTGTGGATTTATAATTTATTATAATGTCATCATGAATATCACCCGAGATCACAGCCGTTATATTATCTACCGTTACTTACTTACGCACTCCTGTGGCCATTTAAACCCTAGGCGGTCTTTGGCGTCGCCAACCATGTGCCTCCAGGATCCTCCATCTTCTGCCAGCTCTAGGTTTGCTCCCATTCTCCTTAGGACTTTTTCCCAATGCTCTCCTATCCTCCATAGTACCTCTTATCACATGCTTTACTATCTCTCTCTCACCTGTCTTTTGAATGTGGCTCAGCTATCTCAACCTTCTACTTGCCACTACCACAATAGGTACCTATCTAGTTCTCTAGTTCTCTATGAAATTCCCTCAACCCCCTATTTTTTTATTCTCCACAAAACTTATCTTTTATTGGTCCAAAAAACGCTTCTTAATATTTTATTTTCAAAAGTATTAAGTCTTTATTGGGATTTTTTAGTGAAAGAACAAGTCTATAAACCGTATAAAACTTACGTACCTCATCCCGCATTTTCAGTCTTAAAAAATTAGTCTGGGGATGACTAGCTTCGCGTCAAAGACCCATTATCAAATCCACATCAAACTGGGCGACAGAGGTCGTCATCAAAATGTATATATACGAGTCGACACATAAAGCTCAAATTTACACATAGATACAAGCACATTTATATACATTTAAAAAGCTATTGGCCGGCCACATTCGTTCACATACTGGATAAACCGACACAGTTTGTATGGCGGACACGATGGAACTATCCACAGTTCCATCATGTCCGACAAACAATAACAAATAGACACAGGAACTATGGATTTCATTACAATATTAGGCAGTTTTAGGTTAAATTCCCCCTCCCCTAAAACCGTCTTAGAAATATTGTGGACAAATCCATAGTTCCTGTGCGTGAAGGAATGTGGCCGGCCTAAATATAAATAGCTTTTTAAATGTAAGTTAGGTACTCATATCCGTGTGAAAATTTGAACTTTGTGTCGACTCGTGTATATGTACGTTTTGATGAAGACTTCCGTTCCGTCGGATTATAAACTCTTCAATTTGATGTGGATTTGATAATGGGTCTTTGACCTGAAACTAGTCATCCCCAGACTATTTTCAAGACTGAAAACAGACAGAAGTACGTAACATAAATGTAAAAGAAATAATAGTGTTGTAACTTTAATGCTATTGAACATTATAGAACAGAACCAACTTGTTTAATTGAAACAGCTGTTAAGATTCATTAATTCCATTTCTCATAAGGTTAACATGGGAAACTCCAGAGCCACTGGGGCGAAGCCGATTGGACGGATCACGAAATTGATGGTGTATAAACCTATTCCATGAAATTCTACACGTATGTACCAAGTTTCGTGGCAATCGGTTCAGTGGTGTCTGAGTTTATCACTGCCAAATATATATACAAACATCCTCTTTTATACTTTATAGATAATTTCTAGTACTGTAATTGTTAATTAATTAATGCTCTATGAATATTTTTTCTTCTTATTTCAGATAGTAAAAACCTGCCGTTGGAATGGATCGAGTTGATGAGATTTACGCCTTTCATGCCATTCCCCATTTATGTCTTGGAACTTTTCAGTCAAACTTACATCATCATCATGAAAATGTTTAATACATACCACAGAGCTTGCATTGGGTTCCCAATCTGTTCTAGAAATTGCACGAATCCACGCCCTACACAATTCAGGATTCTTCGGGAAAGAAAATGTACTAGTAACGGGTACACTTCCATATCTGTTGGCACTAATATCGAATGAGTACTTTTTATATCGAACGAGTACTTTTTATCGATATATCGATTAATCGATATATAACCTAACCTAACTAATTAAACTATCGAATGAGTACTTTTTATCGATATGTCGATTGTTCGATATATCGATAAAAAGTACTCGTTCGATATTAGTGCCAACAGATATGGAAGTGTACCCCTAGTAACTCCTTCATCTTTTACATTATTTCTATAATTTGATTTGCAAACAGGAACAACACATGCTTGAGGCATCTCAACATCACTTTATTACTTGTACTTCATAAATAGTGAATAACTTGAATAAACATGGTTTCTAATTCACTTTGGTAACTTAATTTTTCCCACTTCACTGGTGAAAATACCCAATATAACCCACTTAGCTCAGTGAAGAGTTAGGCCTATGTACCGGTATTTATCTATCTTATGGAAGGATTATTTTCAAAATACCTATATGAATAGACCAATTAAATAGATAAAATACAAATTTGACAGATATTAATGAATATTAAGTATACGATGATAAGCCTATAGTCCTGAGCAGTGTTGGGAAGTAGCGACGCTACAGTAGCGCGCTATTTATTTTGTAGCGTTAGCTGTAGCTACGCTACTTTTCAAATTTTGTAGCTAGAGCAGTAGCGAGCTACTTTTTTTAAGTAGTTGTAGCGGAATATTAGCTACTTTCCTAGCTACGGTACTTATATATTTCTTGAGCTAGTGATTTTTATCACAACCTTACTCTTAACAACGTCTTTTGAACTAAAGTTTCAAAATAAATTAGGCTTAACTAAAGCCAAAATCTAGACGCAGCTGTTTTATAATTTTTCTTTGCAGTTTTGCATAGATACTGAGGTCAAAGAGTATTGATTATGTTGATGTTAAAGACATTTTTCACTCTCATTCCTTTAATTCGCTACTCTTCTAATTCGCTTCCAGTAGATGACACGTCAACTCCGTCAACTAAGCTAACCCTGTTGAATAACCAAAATATCGCATAATATTCCTAAAGTTAATAGCCTAGGCCTAAGATAGTGTTAGGCCACACAAACATCTTTAAACCCATCAACTATACTAATATCAAAGCTTGTGTTAGCTTAGCTGTACCAGTAGATGCCTATGACAGGCCTGTAGGCCTAAACTATTTGGCCTACCTAAGTTAGGCATATTACTCTTAAAGTTTCAAAAGTGATTTATAATTACCATATCCCCTAACATTAGGCCTAGCTCTAACTTAAATCAGCTTGGGAGACTGAGATTAAATTTTTGTTTGATCATCCTTGTAACTTACCTAGTCCAACCAAAGCCAAAAGAAAAAGAAATAGACCTACTGAGTTTTTAGATTAAGTAGAGGTTTTTCTTTCAAAGGTTAGGGTGAAACTGTAGCTTCACAAGATTTTTAAACACATTGCTAATCAAGGCTTGTGTAGTTGTGTACCAACAAAAATAAAGGAAAACATCTGAATTTTCGTTATTGAAATTATTGAACACAAAGATGCTTGTCATTAACTCTTATTATTAGTTTTATTTGTAAAGTGTACAAACTAAGTTACTGGCTCGGTGTCAACTCAACTAAGTAAGTAAGCTACTGCTACTGGTATAACCTTATCAGAATTTTTGTTTACTAGGCTACTAAGTTATAGTGAGCTTTCTGGACGGCCCTGCTTTCTGTCAAGTAAATCTTGCATTTTCCTTTAACTAGCCTACTAACCAACAGACAATCAGAGTTGCGAGAAGATAAATTATTTTGAACTACAAGGCTGAAACCGGGCTTAACTTACCTAGTTTTGAAATGAGAATTTTTTAGAATAGGATAGGCTAGAGGAGTAGGACATTGGACGATTGGTCACTGGGCTAGTAGGTTAGGGCTATAAAAAACGACTTCGGTTTGAATGTAGGAATAGATTTTCAATTAAAATCGTTTTGGTTTAGAACACTATATGTTTTATATTAAATATTTTAATGGATTTATGATCATACATTTACATTTAAATAAATAATCCGTAAATTACTGAGCTGGTGTCACTCGCTTTCCATGTTATCTTATGGGACTTTCAGGGCTGGACAGCACCACTTGCAACGTTGCCAATTCTACAAGGCCGCGGCCTGTAGTTAAAGGCGGCCGTGGGAACGCCCACTAGTTGAATTCTGACTTTAATCTCAGAGTGGAACGCCCACTTGTTATATTCTGACTTTAAACTCAGAATTCTAAGTTTTTTCTCAGAGATTAAGAAAAATATTTTTTTATAGTTGGTGGCCCTTCAGCGCCGTCGTAGTTACTCCAGTTGAGTCCAGTTATATTATTATAGCTCAGTCTCAGTGAGTGGTCTAGTCAAGTGAATTGACCTAAGTTGTTTGCGTGCTGGTGCACCAAATGTAAGCTAAATTAAGTCTTAAATAAGTTTGCGAGATGTAAAATCTGTAGTTGTTATTGTGAATTGTAGCATTTTGAAATATGCGAAAAGTTGTAATAAAAAACTTTTTAGTGGAAAATAAGAGTGCTTCTACTTACTTGGCTAGGTTATGTTTTAGTTTTCCAAATCCAAGAAATGGCCATTTATCCCAGCAAATCATCCGTATTTTTGTTGGGATTTAGCATTGGGGTTATTTTTGCGTTTATTTTGACTGTGAGCAAAGATAAATTTGGTAGAGTTGTACCAAATAAGAATATTTATTATGCACACACAGCTCTACATAACCCTTCAACTAACCATGAAGAATTTTATCACAAATGGTTGAAAAAGATGAGATACATGACATACAGGGTAAACTTTGATTATTATAGTTACTCTGGAAACCAATCATTAGCTACCTTTTTAGAATCACAACTTTTTAAACATAAAGTAAATATAATGTGTGTAATGTTTGTGAAAAATGTCAACAATGCTTATGCTGCTATGAATACATGGATGAAACACTGCAATCATGTGATGTTTTATGGCCTTAAGCCTGAAAGTTATATTAAAATTACTGTGATGAGGCCAAAGAGTTCCTGGCATTATTTATGTGAAGTAATAAATCACTTGGACAAAAGTGGAAACAACTACCAGTGGGTTTTATTTGTACCTGACGATATTTTTGCAATACCTGAAAATTTAAGATACTATTTGTTTGGTAAGAACTACGAAGATTTATTTTATTTTGGACGTCCAGCGTTTTTGTGGAATGTACACTATAACTTTGCTGGAGCAGGTTATGTTTTAAGTAAAGGAAGTATCAAAGCTCTAAGGTCACTCTTTCCTTCTTCAGAATCATGTGTGAAAAGTGGAAAGTATTGGAAAAACGAAGACTATTACCTTGGTAAGTAGGACTAAAAATGTAGGGTACGGTAACATAAGTTAGCTGTGTCTTTGTGGAAGCAATTCCTGTTTAAGTTAGCCTATAAGTCTTAAGTACAACAAGTTGATAGGCATTAGTTGTTTTAACTGGCCAAGGTTATTGAGTTAGGGGTTTTACATTTTTACCCTTACCAATTTTTTGATAAGCCGGCATGCTAAATAAAATTTCTTGATTACGGACACATGGGATTTTTAAGTTAGGTAGGTAAGTAGTTTTTACACAAATAAGTGCCTAACTTTCTTAATATAGCCTAAGACCTAAAATGCATAACTTAGTGCACATAAAATAGCCTAAATGGGGAAGCTCATACTACTCAACCTATACCATCTAGGGGACCGGTGGGAATCAGGGTTGATTGGGGGGGGGGGGGCGATGTGTGGGAAATTATTTTAGGGTAAAAGGCCTTTTGATGCACTCAACTTAAAAACAGGTAGGCCTACAAATATGTCTAAACCTAATCCAACCAAACTCCAAACAACCGTTACGGTACGGTAAGTTACCAAATAAAGCCTAACTTAGCTATAAATTAAATTAACCCTTGGTTATTTATGTATACCTAACTTAATGGTAAATTAATTTTCTGCAGATAGCCACGAAAAACACTCTTTTAGATAGCAAACACTTCGATGATCTTTTCTCGTGATCACATTGACACACCTCTGGCAGTCTCAGTGATACCGTAATTATTTCCTGGGATCACAGTTAACAATAAAAAAAAAAGTTTTAAAATAAAAATTAAGCTAGAAAATCTCAAAAACACCACTAAACTCTAGCCAAGTTGCCTTTGTGTGCTTAGGGGGGGGGGGGGGGGTTAACTTTTTGCACTGAAATATAACTGGCTCGCCTTCCCTCTAAAAATTACAATGTGGGACTCTAGGAAAAAAGGTTGGAGCATGAAATATTTACTAGCTATGCTCGATAAATGTAATTGATTTCAATCAACTAATTCTAGGCTGTGCAGGCATAATAGTTTTTTTTTACTATCTAGGTTACTTTAAAGATGCCTAAGTAGGCTATAAGATTTCATAATCAGACTTAACTTAAAATCTAAAAAGTTTTATTCGACAATTTCTTGCAGGTAAATTCCTGATAGAGCTAGGAGCACCTCTAATAGACACAAGGGATCAGCTGGGCCGAGACAGGTTCCATATGTTCACTCCAGCCCAGCTGATGGCACCTGGGAACGAACAGATCCTCAACAACTACCACAAGAACTGTCTATATCCAGTTGTTCAGGTGAGTGCATAAATTTATTGGTAGGGTATTCATCTAGTTTAACACTTTTAAACCTAAGCCTGATTGTAGTTTAATGTGGTAGTTTATTTAAGTTGAATCTCACCTACGAGCGCTAATGTGCTTAAAGCGGCATTAGCAGCGTTGTAGCATGGTAAGTTAGCTCAGTTGGTTAAGGCGTTAGGTACACTGACAAGTGTAACATTGAGGTCTTTCTACATGCGCGGGTTCGGATTTTTTTTGCTCTTATTTTAGTTTAATGATGGTGTGGTCCCTGGATCTTCTGAATTAACGTTTAGTGGTTTAAAATACCTTGTTACTGTCCAAAACGATCCCATGTAGTTCGTAGTGACTACAGCTGTTTTGTGCTACAGGAGCACATCTTCGGGTCAGGAGAATGTCAAGCAGTAGTCATTAGATATTCCTCATGGTGGAGTTCGTCTAAAGTTTATAGTAAATAACATGGACACAACTAAAAAACACAAAACTGAACATTTAACACTGGTCGACCAGACGGTAACAAAACACGTGATACGGCACCGGTTCATAGCAAGTCGTGACTAGCTATCAACAGACCAGAATTGTTGCTAGTTGGGGAGTTAGTAAACATGGCTAAGGAAATTGCGGGTTGTTCGGAGTGTGATGTCGATGATATGGAAGAGTGGTTGGAATGTGATAAGAACGATCAAGGATACCAGATAATAACAGATGATAAAATCGCAGTGAGTGTCATGGATGAACAGGAATATGAAGATGAAAACAATGAGACTGCAGGATACAAAGAGGCAGGAGACGAAAGTTTACCATCACATAGTGAGGCGTTTATGTGCTTTGACAACACCCTCAAATGGATGGAGCGGCTACCAGACTGTGATCGTGTACAGCTTCTTGCCGTCCGGCACCTGCGTGATCTAGCTGTGCGGAAACAAGCTTTAATCTCAGTATTTGTTCCTCTACTGTACTTCAATTCAATTTAACAGCTCTATTCTGTCTTAGTTATCCTCAATAAAGTTCATTCGTTGTGTAACACTTTGTTTTTCTTTATTACCATTCTGTGTTCGATTATCCAAATTTTTGATCACCCGAATTGACCCCGGTCCCAATTAATTCGGATAGTCGGCGTTTCAATGTACAATGGAATACTCATTGTACCTTACTTTTATTTTGTAGCCTATTGACCGCTTACAGCTAAAATATGATTAATATGCTTATCTAAATGGAAAAGTAAGAGAGTATTTGTTTCCATAGGGCCAAGATTGCTGCAGTTCTCAATCTGTTACATTCCAAGGCACAGATGCTGCTCACATCTACTTCTACCACTACCTCCTCTACAACTTGCACGTACACTTTCATCCCGGACATCTGGGAAACAACAAGTCTAGGAGATTCACCCCATCTGACCAGGTAGGGTATTGGACACCATTGTTTGTGTATATCAACACATGATGAATAAACTTGAGCAATATATTTAATCTATTTTTTTACTTACTTTCCGTGAGGGGAGTAATAGAGTCATTAATGTATAGAAGGTTGTCATTTACTTTGGTTTTTGTTTCTTTCTTTTCCAAAAGCCCGTATGTATCCCTGGTTCTTCCTATTTACCTAGCTACTGTCCTAAACATCTCAACTGTTTCCTTGTCCCTCATCAAGCTTTATTTCCCCATCTCTAGACCTTTCCTATCCAAGACTTCTTCCTGTTCTAATATCAATAATATCTGATCATTATTCTTGAGCACCTAAGATAAATAATCATACAGAAGAATGCAGGTGCCATCTCTTACAGTAGAAGAAACTGGATACAAAAATTTTGTTCCTTCGATATTGATATTATCGTCCACTTATAAATAATATCCTGTTATTTAGTTTCAGTAAAACAACACCTAAAAACCACAACAAACTGCTGTACTATAAGTTGACTTTTAAATTCATTGAACTTTTAAATACATGTTTTGCACCGAAACACTAATTTTTAAACCACAAAAAACGGAGTACGTTTTTATCTTTTCAACAAATCTAATAAATCCTCATTGCACATATCTCCATTTATTTCAATTTGAGTATAACCAGCTGTTTCAAATTTGTAAGTGTAAATTTCAAAGTATTCAACTGTTCAAATGTAAACAAACATTTTCTCCATAAGAATGACATGGGGACTTTGAAGGCAACTGAGACAGAGCCCTGATGGATTTCAAAGATTTTTTGCTTGATTGCAACGACCTATCTAATGACTTCTTAACCCTTAAACGCGTGCTAAGCGTAATGACATACTCCAACGTATGATAATTTTGTCATAATTTTACAAGTATAGTGGCAACCCTGGTGAGCATAACAGCAGCTTCCTAAAATAGCATATGCTATCATCTGGCCGCAGGGTTGTTAGTCTTAACCGAGTCATTGACATGTTATCACCACCCTGGGCCTGGAATACCCCCACGCGCGTTACCAGTACTGTGTTCTTCTGGGGGTCTAGTGTACCCCTGTGCGTGTATTAGTGTTTCAGTTTTATTATCATAATTAATATTAATAACTTTATTTTTTATAATTTTTATGGTACCTATTGAAAGTTTGCCAAAAAACTTAGTATCTGTAAACCAATTGGATGGAAATGTCCAACCATAGAGTCCACTGATCTAGCCTCCTAGTGCAAAGGCGCGGTGCACTGTCTGCATTGGACAAAAATACCAAATTTTAGTGTAAAACTATCAGAATTATAAATAATAAAGTTATTACAGTAATACTAATTATGATGATGAAACTGAGATACTACTACGTCCACGGGGGTACACTAGACCCCCAATGAACATAGTAGGCTACTGGTAACACAAGCATGCACGTGGGGGTATGCCAGACCCAGGGTGGTGATACTGATAACACATCAATGACTCGGTCAAAACTAACAACCCTGCGGCCAGATGATGTCATATGCTATTTTATTAGGCAGCTACTGTTATGCTCACCAGGGTTACAACCTTTTAAGCAAAATATTCTAATCAAACTTATATTTAAGGGATTAAATAATATTTAAAGTATTTGTTAAACATCTACTTCCCATGTACTTTTCATTGTTAATGATATCTTCAACATCATAATGATAATTTTTAATTGGTTATCAGGTGTGGCAGAGGTTTGTTTCGGATGAGCTCGGACCTGATGTTAATCTCTCTGCGATATCACCAGACCAGTATTATGAACTGTGGAGCAACAAAGTCGACTCTCCAAGTAGCTTCAATGAGAAGTTGAAAGCTTTGTTTTTGGGTAAATCGTAAGATTACATTTTTATTTCACACAATATTTATGTTATGTATGATTGAAGAAGGTTGTATTTTTTAACAATTTCGTAAATTATTAAATCGTCAAATGTACTTTCTAGTCTTTGGCAATCTAAACTTGGAGATTTTACCATCACTTGCATCATAAAGTCTGCTAATGAAATCATATTGTAGGCTAGGCACATTTCCTTACATCAGTATTCAGAGATGTCTATTTTATATTTTTATATTCATTAAAAGTCTAGAATTTAACACATCACAAATTCATGTATGACTGTTTTAGAAGTTATTCATATATATATATATAAATACAATTTAAGGAGTTTTAAATTTACTTCAGTAAGCTCCTACTAATGCAACCTGATTGGTCAGGTCCTGTATTGGTAAGCTTGTTAAGATAAAAATAAATAACAAAATGTATTATTTGGTAAGTATATTAATAACATTGAATTTTATACCTTAAAATAGTGAAAATAAATTATCTTTCCATAAGAATTGCCGAGTAAGCAAAAGCTCAGTTTTTTAATTGTGCTCAACTAACCATCTGCAAGTCGCCAGTGTGATTATAAAGTCAATAGCTTTTTAACGGTTAAAAACTGGAGCCAGCCGCCCCTAGATCATTGTACAACAAATGATCCTGGCGAGATAAATAGTTTATAGTAATGCAGCTACACAAGACTCTTGCATCTAATTTTCTTGATACGAGGGTTTTTCAGAAATTAGGAAACATTTTCTTTGATGTTGTTAGGCAAGCACTAATCTTGCAATATACAGGGTGAACACAAAAGAAATGAACAACTTTAATAAAAGATTACAGGAAAGTTCTACTACCTAGGAGAATGTGAAATACACCATTAGAAAGCTAAGATTCTCAAGTTTTTTCCCATACAGTATATGACAAGTGCTCAGTATGGGATCCTCGGCTTATTTTACACACATCTATTCTAAAACTAAATTCTGCCCAAACTTTTTCAAGAATGGTCTCATTGACACTTTGTACTGCAGTAGTAATGCGATTTCGGAGCTCCATAAGGTTCAATGGCAAAGAAGGAACAAAAACTTTTTCTTTCACATTCTCCACAAAAAAAAGTCACAATTGGACACGGATGGCAGACTGAGTTCTCTCTAATTCTAAAACACAAAAAGACTTTTCTGAGAGCGTTTGACCATTTTTAAACAAATCAATAAATAACATCTTTTGACACATGTTTGTATTGTTGACAGCAATCAGCTGTTTGAGACAAAACTTAAGGTGTTTTCCGAGTCACTGGTACCAACCGCAGCGATGTCAGATCCATAGTTTTCGATAAATTGATGTTCAAAGTTGTTCACTTCTTTTATGTTCACCCTGTATATATACAGACAAGTTCGCCTCCTCAATGACAGTCCAGCCGTGAAAACAGAAGTGTTGTAATAATTGTGCTGACCATTTTCACAATTTTACAGTTTGTTTAGTGTGCTGCAATTATTCATCCTGCTAGTTAGATGTCTGCAATATGGTTTTTGCTGGCCATAAACTTGAAACCAAGAGAGATTTATTGTCAATTGAATGGATTGTAGCCTACAGAAACTGACAATTCACAATTCTGTCCTCCAGAAATGGTGCATTCAGTTTCAAAATGGCGGAACTAAATTTCACGTCCAAAATAGAATTTTTGCATGACAATGACTGTCCTCACTTGGAAAATCACTTGCAAGATCTCTTTCATTCATTCAAATGGGAGTTTCCCCCCAAACACCCGGCAATCCAGCCCCAGACCTTGCTCCACATAACTTTCACATGGTTATCATCACGGTTATTGGTCATCATGATGAAGCCGAGAGGCTCCGATTGCATGTGTCCAGGTTGGGCTCGCAGATGGTATAGGCCTAATTTTACGGCTGATAAATTGAAAATCCCACTAACCACTGTGATAAGTGCCTCAAATTGTTTGGTGAATATGTGGAAAAGTAGTATTTAAAGTTCCTCTTTAATATTTATATAATGGATTTTCTTTTCTTGTTCAAACTTTCTGTACTTTCTGAACAGCCCTCGTATGTATTTTGTTTAGTGATTAAATTTAATTTTCAAGGAAACATAAGTGTTTAACAAGAAATGAAAATTAAACTTAATGAAAAAGTGTTTTAATTTACAAAATAAAAGTACAATAATACATTTTTTAGCACTAAATACAACAATGGACATATAGCCCGTCTGTTTCGGCTGGCGTACCTGGTTAGCACTTGTACAACAATAGCTAAATTGACTAATGTAAACTGTACTCATATTAAGAAAAAAAATAAAACAATTAATTTATTAAAAATTTTTTTTGTCCTAAGACGCTAGGCACGAGCCCGGAATTGTTTTTCACATTACTTCAGGCTAGACCTAGAGGCTACAGAATTATCACTTGGATAAAATCCAATGGTTATTTGGCGGGATTCGAACCCGGGCCCCCAGGAACTGGGGTCCAACCACTAGACCATAATAATATAATTTTGTTTTAGCAGTATTACTAGTTTACCTTTTAGGAAGGTTAATTGTTATGTTAATTAATTTACTGTAGCTGATTGTCAATACCCTCAAGGACTTTTTTTAGGCCTACTTAAAATTCTAGTACACCATGTTTTAGCGAATTTCCCATATAGACAATAAGCTATTACGATAGGTCTCATGGGAAGACCTAGACCTAGGATCGATTTACTTTTTGTTTGGATGTCCCCAGAAATCAAAATCACCATCCGTTCAAATCATTCGTCCATTAGAATGATATTTCAAGCAAAAATCATCTGATTTCGATGAAATTAGTACAAACATGTATGAACGGGGTTTTATGAGGTAAAAATTGGTTTTTCCCATTTTTGACTCTCAAAATATATTAGTGTATTGTGTTATTGTACAGTTATTAGTCACAGAAAGAATTCAAAACATTGTTAATTTAAAATTCCCAGTTTCTTCTTATGGAGAATGAGAAACTGTTGTAATTTGCTTGTTTATGGATATATTTTGATGGAAAGTAAATAAAAGAAACGTCTTATAACACTTAAAACATATATTTAGGCTTATACTGCTACTCACAAGAGGGTAAATATACAAAATACCCCCGTCGCAACAAACCTGCATACTAAGCGAATTTCCATTTAGGTACCCTGCTTGATTTCTACTAAAATATTCCCTATAAATTTTCAGATTTATTTCAATTTTAATAACATTAATTTTAGTGAGTAGTTAGGTTTGCTGCTACGGGAAAGATGTTGAGGTGTGTTTTTTCAATTGAAATATTGATAGCTTAGTATGAAATAAACCAAATTGCCAAATTTGATTAAAATTTATCCATAAACAAGCAAACTAGAACAGTTTATTTATTCTCGATAAGAATAACATGGGAATTTTAAATTTACAATTTTGTTAATCTTCTCCGTAGTTAATGAACATTCAAAACACTTCAATAGACTAAGTTATTTGTTTTTTTAAGCTCTTCAAAATTGTCTAGGGAGAAATTTAAAGTTTTTAGGGTCAAAAATGAGAAAAACCCATTTTTACCCCATAAACCCCTGATCCGATTATGCTGGTTCGCGAACTCGTTCGAATAAATGTAGGTTTACACGTTTGTACCAAATTTCATCAAAATCGATCAATTTTGCTCGAGTTAAGTGTTATTAGACGTTTCTTTTATTTACTTTCCGTAAATTTAATAACACGTACAATGCTGATCAAAAAGTTATATATTTTGATAAAACCTGGCAAATTTATTTGTTTTAGTTGTATACTCAGCTATTAATATTTTACTTAAAAATACACTTTGTTGCCCAACCTGTAGCAGCAAAATTTGTTACTCTTTAAACCGATGTTATTTAAATAGATTTAGTGAAAAACAAATCAGGCAAATGGTAATTCGCTTAGTCTACAGGTTTTATGCGACGGACGGGTATTTATATTTTGAGTTGTTTTTGTCTCTGGATCATTGAACAAACTATAAAAGGTATAGAATTACCTGAGTACTGCCAGAATGATCCTGTTGGTCCTTACGGATTACGCGTTTCGAGGAGCTTAAGTCCTCATCATCAGATCTTGTACAAGAAACACATCTATCACTCTGTCCGTGTCCGTGTTGTATATTTAAACTTTTGACGACCTTCTCGAAGTGATAGATGTGTTTCTTGTACAAGATCTGATGATGAGGACTTAAGCTCCTCGAAACGCGTAATCCGTAAGGACCAACAGGATCATTCTGGCAGTACTCAGGTTATTCTATACCTTTTATAGGGTATTTATAATTTGAATTGAAATTATTGTGACTTGCCTTCACAAGAATTTCCAGTTGTTATTTTATGTTCTAATGAAATTCATACAATTTAATGACTACAAAACTTTAAAAAGTAAATATGTGTTTTAGGTGCTCAAAAGAGTTTTTTTATGAGGTCTTTGAGGAATATAAATTGTATATTGTGTTCCACACAGCAAAAACTTGTATCCTAATTCTTTGTCATATCAGATTTTGTTGTGTACAAATTACTTTATTGTGTGATCCATGACATAAACGTTGTATTTACATAAATTTATACAATATCCAAATATAACATTACAGTTCTATGCACAGGTTTATTTATTTTTTATTTATGGGATTTTTTGTAGACTTAAGACTTCAAAAGACAAACAAAGTGCACATTATCTTCTGGTGGATCACAGGGATGACATTGTTGGTTTCAGTTCTTTTCAAGTTTCAACTTTGTTTCTTGACAACTAATTTGTATAGTTCTTTTTGTAACCCTACCCTTTTCTGACACATCCCCATTTTTCTTTTGATCATCCTCTCCTACCCAGAACCCTAATGTCACAGATTTTTACTTTAAGGGCTGAATTTAGTTTATATGCAATGGTGATAGAAAGTTATAAAGTTAATAATTGTTCAAAAAACATTTAAAGACAGTTTTAACTGTTTGCTTTAGTTTATGCTCTGGCTGTGTCTAAAAGAGCTGCATTGTTAAAAGATTTGTTATTTTTATAAGTTTATTAACAATTTTACTATTTTTATTGTGAATTTATTATATTTCCTTTACTTATTTTTACATTCTCTTTTATAATGTTACCAAGTTGCATGTTTGATGTATTTAGTGAATTTCCCTATAGACAAGAGGCTATTACCTGGCACGGAAAAACCTAGACTCAGGAGCGATTTACTTTTTCATTTCAATGTCCCCAGAGGCCAAAAACACCATTCGTTTAAATTTATATTTAAGGGTCATTGTTGCGTTTGTAGCTGATGAGTACATATTACTGTGTGCTGTTAATTTTTTATTATTGAATCTCCCGTTGTATTAGACATAAGGTGAGCAATGCGTTTTTTACTACAAGTAACATAACCGATGCTGACATTCATCGCCTTAAGACTGTAGTTTATGACCCTAATGCAACTATACAGGGAAAAGTGCAGAAATTGGCTTGGGAGTTCAAAGTGACCATGAAAATGATCATTTCCGAAGGAATTGAGTTTTTGGTGGGTACCCAGATTTCTCACAGAAGACCACAAGGGAAAAGTGTTCATAACCTCCATTTTTATTGCATTAGGGCCATAACCTTCAGTCATCTGGCGATGAATGTCGGCATCGGATATGTTTCTTGCGATAAAAAAACGCAACACTCACCTTATCTCATACACAACGGGAGATTTAACAATTTTAAAAACACAGCGAATAGTAACCATCAGCTACAGAGCTGCAAATGGTGTCATTCTGTTTAAAAATGATGCCAGTAACCGGCGAGGAGCCTTGTTTAAGTGTACACGCAAACTACGGAGCAATATTAGCATTGGTAGAAGAAGAATTCCTAAGTCAAATTAGGTGATGGGAATTCTTAGATTGAAAACCCTGTCATATTTTCTTAGATCAGGGAAAGGGTTTAAAATACTGTGAGTTAACCTATTTAGATACTCAAGATTATTAATTATTTGTGTTTATCATTGTTCTTTAAATCTATAGTACAAAACTGCTTTCTAACTTCTTAAAAACTGTTTATTTTGGGCTGTGACATGGCTCTTAGCAGATAAGGGGGTCACACAGAAATAATTAACATAAGGTGTATGCTTTCATAAAGCATATTCATAAAAGATATTCATAAAGCAACTTGGACAGCACCAAATGGTGTCACAAAGAACCAGATTGACCATGTTTTGATTGATCGTAGACACTCAAGAACCATCACAAACGTTAGAAGTATTAGAAAAGCAGAATTTGGAACTGATCATTATCTAGTCTTAGTGAACATACACCAAAGATTGAACACTGAGAAGAGGAAAACGTCAGATCAAGTTGCCAGGATTGATATCGAATCATTTAAAGACAAAAGAAAGGAGAAAGAATATCAAATTAAGTTAAAAAACCGATTTCAAGCATTAGAGTCACTAAATGAAGAACCTCCCCAAGAAGAAAACACTGTAGAAAAAAGCTGGGAAAACTTAAAAAATTCTATTCACAAATGTGCAGAAGAGGTCTGTGGAATAAAGAAAAAAATAAAAAAGAAACCTTGGTTCGATGAAGAATGTAGTGATGCAGTAAGAAAAAGAAAAGAAGCAAAAGAAATGTGGATAAATAATCAACAAGATCACCTAAAGGAAAACTACAAAACACAAGCCAAAGAAACTGTAAAAATACTGAGGCGAAAAAAGAGAGAGTGGATCAACAGAATATTAGAAAAAGCAGAAGATGATAGAACAGCAAACAATGCAAGAGATTTCTACCGTTCCATTCGTTTCTTTAAAAAAGGCTTCACCCCAAACACCTATGGAATCAAGGATAAAACGGGAAAAATCATAATCCAAAAAGAGGAAGGAATAAAGGTTTGGAGGGAGTACTTCCAAGAGCTTTTAAATGGAGAAATTCAGGAAAAAGAAGACGAACCATGTGAAATATACTATAATGTACAACCCCAGATTACCCCCCCAACATTAGAAGAAGTAACAAGAGCAATAAAGGACATGAAAAACAATAAAGCGCCGGGAGAAGATGGAATAGCAGCAGAGATGTTAAAAGCAGGAAAGAAATACGTAGCAGAACAAATTCACAAACTGATCACAAAAATATGGGAATCAGAAAACACACCAGATGAATGGAAAGAAGCGTTAGTAGTCCCCATACACAAAAAAGGCAGTAAACAGGAGTGTAACAATTACAGAGGTATATCACTTTTAAATGTAACTTACAAAGTATTGTCAAAAATTACACAGAGAAGATTAGAAGAATACACATCAACCATCATTGGAGAACATCAAGCTGGCTTTACCAAAGGAAAATCTACCATAGATCAAATTTTCATTTTAAAAGAATCAATAGCAAAATACTATGAATTTAAACAATCTTTCTACTGCATTTTCATAGACTTTACAAAAGCTTACGACAGTTTAGACAGAAAAAGAATATGGAAAGTAATGGAAAAACAGGGAATTCCAAAAAAACTTATAAAAATGGCCTCATTAAGTGTCCAAGACTCAAAATGTAAAGTAAAAGTGGAAGGACAAGTGTCAGAGGCTTTCTCAGTAGACACTGGAGTGAGACAGGGAGATGGAATATCCCCAATACTTTTCAACATTGCTCTAGAAGAAGCACTACAGAAAGTTAAAAGTTCAGAGGTAGGGATAAAGATAGGAAAGAAAATAAATATTTTAGCCTTTGCGGATGATGTTGCGATATTAGCACATACAAAACAAGACTTAGAAGATCTAGTCAGAATATTGATTGAGGAAACGAAAAAGGCTGGCCTTGAAATAAATGATAGAAAAACTAAATATATGCAATGTGGTAGACGAGATGACCAAGAAGAGGACAATGAAGTCCTGCAGATAGAAAACCATGTTTTCCAAAAAGTGAACAATTTCACCTACCTGGGAGTCTTATTAACAAATGATAATAATGAAGAACTGGAAATAACTAACAGACTCAATGCTGCAAACAGAAGCCTCCATGCATGTAACAAAATTTTGAGCTCAAAGCTGTTATCCCGCAATACTAAAGTAAGAGTTTATAAAACTATAATTAGACCGACACTAATGTATGGATCTGAGTGTTGGGTAATGAGCAAAAAATCAGAAAAACGGTTAGTAACTTTTGAAAACAAAATTCTTAGGAAAATATATGGCCCAACTAAAGAAGATGGATTCTGGAGAATTAGACATAATTTCGAAATAAGAGAGCTATATAAAGACCCAGATATAACAGCTGAGGTAAAAAGCAGACGCATTAGGTGGGCGGGTCATGTCCTCAGAAGAGAACATGGCACAACCTTAAGCAGTGTATTAAGGAACGACCCAGAAGGCAGAAGGCCACCAGGCAGGCCTAAACTGAGATGGAAGGACCAGGTGCGACGGGACTTGAGGAAGCTGGGTAGAAATGAAGACCAGGCGCAGGACAGAGAAGGCTGGAGGCAATGTGTAGGCGAGGCCAAGTACCACTTGGGGTACCTATGGCCACTGCAGTAAGTAAGTAAGTAAGGTGTATGCTTAAACATAATCATTTATTTATCACATTACATCACAATAACAGTAGTTGTTTTAGGCACATAGAAACTCGTTAATCTAACTTAATAGTTACCTAGTTACACAAGTGTATCCAGGAAGGCTATTAATTAACAGCTGTGTCTAAGGAATATTTTAGCCTTGGTCACTAACAAGACTACAAACAAAATCCACTCATCTTACACTCATCTCCATTCATACTTGGCTTAAAATACTTACATTCGTAGACCTATGGTCGCCATTTCAAAGTTAAGTATTAAAAGAATCACATTGTAAAAACTTTCAAATGTATTTAATGTCTTGCTTATTGGAGGTCAAAGTTTTGTTGTTGTTACCAAATGAAAAAAAATTGTTCTTTTTCTTCACTTTTGTAAATTGGAATGTAGCTACAGTAGAACTCCAATTATCCGAACTCCAATTAACCGAATCTCCAATTATCCGAATCGCTTGCTTCAACAATTTTAAAAACGTAAAGCTACAGTAATAAGTTTTGCAAAATATCAAAGAATTGTTATGAAACACATTTACCCAATGTGTAATTTTGGACTTTGATGGAACACTATTGACTTAATAACATGTATAGAACACGTGTACTATGAGCATTGTAAACTGTAAAAATATTCTTATTTCAATTATTATTAATTTAAAGTTCACTTAGTACCAAAAATGAGGATTTTTCTTTAAAATTCCCGGAATTCCGGTAAAACTCCGATTATCCAAATTTTTTATTATCCGAATGGGGTCTGGTCCCTATTGATTCGGATAATCGGAGTTCTACTGTACTGGTTTGTGGAAAAGTATTAATGCTCACTCTTAGTCAATTTGGTGTGTTTACAAAAAGAACGCTAGAAACCACTTAAAAACATATTTAACGGACCACTTTTTAACACTGCAAATCACTGTCTCTGCAATACTTAGAAAAAAGGTTTTTTTACTAAGAAAGAGAATTCTTTAAATCAACAGAACAACAATCTTAAGTTGAAATAATTGTGAAAAAATTAAAAACCAAGAAATGCATGGGGTTTTTTGGTAAGGCCAACAATCATACAAGAAGTAATCCATCTTGTTTATTATATTTTTACTAAGCTCCTTAGTAGTACTGTTCTCTTTAAATTCACAATAATAAATATAGTTATTTTAAGACAAAGAAAACCTAAAACGCAATATAGGGATGGCTATCAATAGGAATTACAAATCAATAGAACAGACATTTAGTTAAGTGTTAACACCATAAAGTATTCATTGCACAACCATTCGTCCACAAAAATATATTAGCAGGTAAAATTACATGCTACAGCAAACATCAAAGTCATGATTTCTAAATTAAAATAATTGGCCACTTAAATTAATAACTTAAGGTTTACATAGTATTACTGTTAAAATTTAAATATGTCTTTTATTTCAGGTTGTATTGAAAGCTTCAAATGAAAACACAACTTACATAAAGCCGCACTTTTGATTTAAATAAAATGTTAAACGCAAGTTGTGGTTTTTAACACAAGTGCAATGGTCATTAAGAAGTCATTCCAAAACTTCCACAATTTATTGAAGATACTTTTTGACATGACCTCATATGTTTAGATAATTTGCAGCAATAATAAACATAAAAAATCTATCACTACTATGATATATAACTATATGATATATGATAACTTCCTTGACAATTAAAACAAAACGTGCAGATCTAAACTAACACTTTCAGTAGTTATCAAATCTAGAGAAAATTGTGCATTCTGATCTGTTGAGATTAAGTTATTCTATTACGAATGTAGTACGTATGGAGCCACTCAGATGACCAACCTAAACTTGGAAGTTGGAAATAACTTTATTCTACTAAACATTTGTTCTAATAAAAAACATAAAATATACAACCTGTCTCTTCAACATAAATTACTAATCTTATCTCATACAAACGATAACACCTAAAACACTTCATCACAGATGTTTATAGAACTAAACAAGCTAGAAAATATGTAGGCTGGCTTTTAATCTATTTTGATATTGTTTTAAGTAGTGTTTCTTCTTATTCTTGTTGTTAAGTGTTTCTTTTAGGTTGTAGTAAATAGTACTGGATAAAAAACTCATGCACAGTCTTTTACTCTTGAGAGCCTGTACAGATGATGAATTGTACGTGGCTTTCACTTTTAAAAAACCATAGTAATTTTTTATATCTCTAATTGACGTATATCAATTCATCAAAATTATGAATCATGAGTGAAATTAATTTAATGTGACAAGATTGCAAATCCGATGGGCTACTCCTATCTAATTTGTATTTGCACCATCGTTTTTATGAAGCAATGGCCATACATTAATTACAGAAATATTAAAACAATATAAATTATAATGTAACATGTTTACTTACATAATATACTTACAGATACATATTTATATTTGAAATGCATACACAAGATATAGGGTGACATTTTATATTTACACATGCATATTCAACATCTCAAAATTGAAGATAAAAGAAATATTTGTACCAACGGACATAGATGGTTGCTAGGCATTGGTCACAGTACAATACTGTATGTATAAACCTTTGAGCACATTTGAAGCCTATCATGCTAGAAATGGTGGTTGTCCATTATTATTAACCCATTCACTTATGATTTTTTTTTTACCCGCCTAGGCCAAAACAAACGAATTTGTTGTGGCTAGTTTCATTCATTTCTGATTTAATTTTTTTTCAGGCAACATTTACTATTTATATGCAAGATATTATTATTTTCTTATTCAAAATTAAATGTAGATTCAAAATATATAAATATTTCCCAAAAAAATATAACTATAATTTTTTATTATACCATATAAAAATAAAATAAAAAAATTAAAAAATTAAAAAAAACTTTTTTATTGGTAATTTTTAGCTACATAGGGCTCATATATGTTTTGGAACTAGTCTATAATACTGTATGACACTTATAAAAACTCACCAAATGTCAAGCAAAGTTCATTTTGGTGTGGTATGCCTTGAAACACTCTGGCATGTGAAGTGCGACAAGGCAGAGCTCACACTCCCATCGGCTGTCACTGCGCTTTCCCTGGGCACTACACACCTTACATCTTCTTGAAGGTGTTTGTTTGACTTCATTTGGAGGAATAGGCCTAGGAAAATGTCCCCAAGTTGCTGCCTGGAGCCTCAGAGGTGTTTCTGAGTTGGATGATCGTCCTCTTCGATTGTACGGTGGCAGTTGTCGCGACTCAAACATTTGCTTGACAAACCTCTCCTTGAACTCACTGAACCCCAATTTTTTTCTGGTTAATTTTTTGAACACTACATAAGAGTTAAAAAGGCCAATGTCCATTATGTAAAAGAAGATCTTCTTGTATCCCTTAGCATACCTCCTCATACTAGGAAACGACGCTAATTGCTGATCCTCGCGGTCAATTCCACCCATTGAACGATTATAGTAGATCACTGGTTCTGGCTTTGTTATAATTTCTTGGGTAACTCTGTCTTTCTTGCCAGTTGATCTTTTGTCAGCTTTTTGATGAAAGGTAGACAAAATGCAAACTTGCTTCTTGTCCTGCCACCTTACTGCTAACATATCGTGGCTATAGGCTGTCTCGTAGTCGCCCAACTTAAGTTTACCCTCTTTGAAGCTCTCTGGCATGTTTGATCTCCACCAGTTAGCTGTTCCAATTACATTGAAACCTATTTGCTTAAGTCTATAGAAGAGAAGAGGTGAGGAGTACCAATTATCAATTGTCAGAGTATGTCCTTTTCCTGCCAAATCTTTTGTCATTTCAACGACTATCGCCTCACTCGTTAACAGCTTTTCCTCCTGTGTAGAATCCCCACTTCCTTCTTCAACCGGTACATTTTCTTTGACTTCAGCTCCAGTATAGATCTTAAATTTAGAACAATAACCACTTCCAGATTCACAACACTTGTAAAACTTTATGCCAAATCTGGCTCTCTTCTTGGGATTAAATTGGACATAGCCCAACCTCCCTCGGAACTTCATAAGACTCTCATCGACAGCTATGTTTTCATCAGGTATGTACAGATGGGAAAACTTCCTGTTCATGTACTCAATAACGTACCTTAACTTCCACAGTTTATCATTCACAGGTTTCCTATTATTGTCTGTAAGGTGGAAAAATGTGGACAGTAGCAAAAAACGGCGGAATGGCATCACTTTACGAAAAAAAGGGGTCTCAGTTACAGCATTAGGCGACCAGTATGATTGTATGGTTCTTTTTTTTACAAGCGACATAAGGACACACAGTGTATAAAAACAAGCCATCTCATCTGCAGTTGTGTCAAACCATTCTGAGTATATAGTTTTTCCTACCCCGCCTGCTTCGTTCTTTTTCTTAATTGTTTCTTTGGCATAATTATTAGTCTCTGTTGCAACATGTTGCCAAAAGTCATTATCAAGAAACGCATTGAAAACATCTAATTCAGAGGGAGCTGAGCCTAAACTTCTAGCCAAACTTGCTCTAACACCAGGACAACCAGTAAAAGGGATTTTATTTATTATATTACTTTCTATGGTACTGGTCCACTGCCAACCCTCCTTTTTCTTCTTTTTTGGTGGAGCTGTATCGTTACTAGTTTGAGTTTTGGACCTTTTAGTAGGCTTAGATGGTTGTGAAATAGCTTTTTTTCCTATAGGCCTACCTCTTCCTCTAGACCTGCCCCTAACAGGTTTACTTTTAGGCCTAGGGTCAGGAAAGCTAGGGTCGTCAGCTTCCTCACTCGGTGTAGGTGAGAGGGCAGGCACGATTGAAGATGCAAGCTGGTCAAATAATTCAGGCCTAATAGGCAAATCTAAATCAGATTGGACATTTGGAGGGGTCATAGGCATATGCCTGCCACTATCTATATCATTTATAGGCCTAGAGTCAGGGAAACCAGGGTCGTCAGCTTCCTCACTCGGTGTAGGCGAGAGAGAAGGCGCGCTCATACTACCGCAGTATAACCGATCAAGAAACTGGACTGATTTAGGCAATTCTTCATCACGTGATGGAGAAGATACATGCTGATCAAATATTTCAGGCCTACTAGACAAATCTGAATTATATTGGACAGTAAGGGCATCTGGAGGGGTCATAGGCCTAGCATAGCTGCAAGAAGGCTGTTCAAGCAACAACTGGTCACTTTCTAATGGCCTAGGCCTAACACAATTAGTATTATGTTCTGGGGAAACTGTGGTCTCATAATCAATAGGCGTATTAGACTTATTACTCACTTGAATTCTGCTCCCTTCCAAATCATCATCATCACTCCAACCACTCTCCTCAAACAAGTCACAATCACTGTCACTGTCACAATCCCCTATAAGTTTTATGATGTCACTTTCATCTAACTCTTTTCCACATTCATCCACGAATACCAAGTTATTTTGAAGACTCATCGTATTATACAAAAGCTTTTCAATTGAATAATATAGTAAAACAAGATACTGTAGCTCAATCTTTATCACGACGAAGTGAAACACGACATGATAGGCCTAATAACTCAGTCATTATAACGACGAAAAAGTAAAATACTGATAAAAACTTACACTAAGTAAATTCTATAACTTATTTTATAAGATAACTACACTTTTCAATAAAATAATAAAGTAAAACAAGGCTCTAACACAATGTTTACATCGTCGAAGTAAACACAACAACGTATCAGCTGTGAAACCAGAGTAGACGTCGTCAGCTGCTAAGTTGCACCATTTCAACTTCAGTTTTTTTGCCGATTGGACTGGACTGAGATGACGAAAATATAACCAAAAGAAAGCCTGGAAATCATAGAACAAGAAGCATATGCGATCTATTGGATTTCTGGGGAACTAACTCGGCACAAACAGGTTTTAATAGCGGACGGCGATTCGCCGTCGCTTCACACAATGGCTAACGGGAGCGCGACGGCGGATCGCCGTCGTTGTAAGCGAAGGGGTTAATAGGTACTGTTTTCAATAAATATATTGAGGCACCAAGACTCTCATAGTCTTTGTTTTTAGCGAATTTCCTATATAGGGAATAAGCTATTACCGTAGGTCTCATGATAAGACCTAGACCCAGGACCGAATTACTTTTTTCGTTTTGAGGTCCCCAGAGCCCAATATCTATATATATGTGTGTGTGTGTGTGTGTGTGTCTGTTAGCGCGATAACTCGAGCAAAAATGATCCGATTTTGATTCAATTTATGTAAACCTTTACATTTATTTCAACGAGTTCGCGAACCAGCATAATCGGACTATGGGAACGGGGGTTTTTATGGGGTGAAAATTAATTTTCCCATTTTGACCCTACAAACATAACATTTCATCATTTCTTTCCAAACAATTTTGTAGAGCTTAAAAAAATAAATAATTTTGTATTTTGAAGCGTTGTTGTATGCCCAAACGTTTACAGATATTTAAAAAAAATTGTAAATTTATAATACCTATGTTTTTCTTATAAACTGTTGTAGTTTGCTTGTTTATTTTAATCAATTTTGGCAATTTTGTTTATTTCATAATAATCTATCAAAATTTCTATAAAAAACACACCTCAATACATTCCCTTTAGCAGCAAACCCAAGTTATCACAAAAATTAATAGGTATTATTTAAATAGGAAATACATCTGACAACTTTAAGGGAATATTTTATTATAAATCGAGCCAGATAAATGGAAATTTGCTTAGTCTGCAGGTTTGCTGCGATGGGTGTATTTTATGTATTTGTTGAATTTAAGTTAGAAAAATAATATGATTTGCACGGAAAGTAAAGAGGTTTAATATAATGAAGCCAAAGAAAACAAGGTAAAGGGATTCCTTTGATGGATTATTTATCGGTACCGGTATCCAGTGAACTATTTTACTGCATCAACTAGCACTACCGGTAGCGCAAAATAGTAGAAATATTTTACAAAATAAGGCAAACAACTGTTTAAAACAGCAATAAAAGATGTAACTTAAAACCGATTAAAATAATCAAACATTAGCTGTTTTGTAAACATTCTTTTTTTAGTATGTGAGATGCAATAGTTTTTATAAGTTTGAATAGTTAGTGTAAGCAGCAAGTAATCTCACCAAACGGCCTAAAAGTGGCTATTTGATCTTTAATTGGTCAACAGCTTCTTCAATTCAAACTTATTTATTACCTATACAAAATATACGTTATTTTGCATGTATTTTGTTAATAGTTGATCAGTAACTAATGTATTTAATATGATTCTTTACAAACACCAGTTAATATAAATATCCGTAAAATATTTGTGGCTGTGGGTCTTGTGCAAATCTTTATCTTTATGTGTTTGATTCTTCTAATAGAAAAATAACTATATGAAAAATAAATTTATAACTTTTGTAATTGAGAAGTTGTGACTAAGAACAAATATTTAACAATAAATTACAATTCTCATTAACTTATAAAAAGAAGTTAACAGCCATAAATCAAATAGTACAGATTTAAAGATAACATTTACAACTTATTGATCTGTTTTATACTTTACTTCACATCTAACTTTCATGATACGCAGACGCTTCCCGCATTATATTATATTCTGTTTTAAAGTCATAGCTATACGCTGAGTCATTTATATCTGCAGCAATTTGAAACACGGCCCTTCGCAATTCTTCAAGTCCTGCTAGATGGGTTTGCTTGGATGATTGTTCCAAAGCTGGGTTCAACACAAATGGTATTCCATCAAGTTGGTTTTGTACATGAGTCCTTGCATTGGTGTCAGCCGTTTGTTGATTCCCTCGTTGAGGCAACACTGGGTAGTATGGTAGTGGTGTGTATGGGTTGGTTGAGTAAGCAGAAGATGGAATCTGAGGATACAATCCACCTACCTGAGGAGTATTGGCTTGAATAATTGTATAACCTTCATCAGAGCCCACTTCAACAGCCTCTATTACCGGTGCTTGTTTTTCTTCTTTCTTCTTTCCACCTAATATCCAGGAAAACGCCATCTGCAATATCAATTTCAATTAAGGGTAATCTAGATAAGGATAAGTTTTAACTTAATGCTAATGAGAAAAATTATGTTTTCAAGTTTTTGTGTTGAGATTCATCTCGACATGTGATTCTAAGACTTAAACAACTTACTGAATGTTAACTTTTAATTATGGTATGTAGAACATAAGATTAGATTAACGATCTTGTGAGTTAAGTTAGTGTTAGCCTTCTATACTGTAAGCCTATGCCTAATAATTACAAATTTGGGCCCGAGTTTGCAAATAGTTACCAGTATGGTCATCAAACTAGCCTATTTAATTTTAATTTAAGAGTGTTTTCCAATACCAATGGATATAGCCTGTTAGCCTACTTTTAGAAACAGAATGGTCCAAACCTTTGACCTTGTCACCATCTAACACATGCGACTTTTTTATAGCATCATTCACTAAGTTAACAATTAGCCTATCCTCAACTCATTTAAAACATTCTATAAGACGAGTTTAAACTGTTCCTAAACACCAACACTTAAACTTTCTTAAATGACTTTTTTGTTGCTGAGGCTTCCTTTGACGCCTACAATCGGATACATATCAGCAATAACCCCTTCCATCTAGGGGACTGGTGCGAATATGGGGTTTTGGGTGGGGGTAAAAGCTCGCTAAGTTACTAGACACCTTGTGTAGCCTAACCTAACCGTAATGTGGGCATGGTGTCTAGTAATCTAGGTAAGTTCAATGGTGTCTAGTAATCTTAGTGAGGTGTCTAGTAGGCTATAGGAAACTGCCCCCTGTCACGATGTTTCCGAGTTTTCCAGGTGTGGTATCTAGTAATAGGCATGGTGTCTACAGGAAGCCTCGGCAACTAAAAAGTCATTTGAGAAAGTTTTAGTGTTGGTGTCTAAGAACAGTTTATGAAAGGTCTTATAGGCTAAGTAAGTTAAGGAAAGTAAATAATAACCACAGTGGCTTAACTGGGCTACCCTAAATATCGATTGAAACTATTGATTTGATTACCTAGTAAACCTTCATTCGGTCAAGAGAAATAATCCGCTTTTAAAGGAACTACTAAAGGCACGGCCTCTCTATTCCACTAAAGAATATTTTGTAGAGGAAAATGATGAATGGATCTCATGACCTACTGCCATCCACAGTCATTACTGGTCAGCGATGGATGGTATAAGGTACTGTATAAAGTTTTCAGCTAGCCTAGGCTAAGTTAGTGTGCAATTCACTCTAGCTAACTTAATTAGGCCTAAGTTAAGTGTAGTAAGTTAGTGTGTTTCTTAGAGCAGGATTAGGTACACATGATAATTCTCTATTAAATGCCTAGGCTAAGTTACCTATTGAACCTATGTCAACCATACTCAACATTCCTATCTATTAACTTATACTAAGCAAGCACTAAGCTGAGGCCTACCTTGAACAATCTCGACAACTTAAATTATTCTTGGAATTATCTTGTATCTCCTAAATTAATAATGTATTGAACCTGCAAGAATAGGCCTAGGTAGCACTAAACTACAAAATCTTGTCAGGCCTAAGTTACCACAACAAAATTATTTTTTTTTTGTATTTAGGCCTAATTGTTACACAATAAGTCAGTACGATAAAGGAATAATGTCATTAGTGTCACTGGAACACTCACTCACAGTCACAGTGTCACACTGACGTCACTGTCACTCACTAGTCAAGTCACAACAACTAACAACACTGACTGAACAGTGAGAGTGAACACGAACACTCAACAACAACAACACCAACACTCAACACTGAACGACTGAACTGAACTGAACACTACAACGAACGCAGACAGTACAGAGGGAGAGGGAAGCTGGCCCGCCCATTCCAGCACACTTTTTTTTTAATGTATACAAAAAAGTGTGCTAAAAGTGTGCTCTTCATAACGGCTATAAAAAAAGTGTGTTCTTCTAATAATTGTGATATAATCAATTGTATTTGGGCGGGCCAGAATCACGGCTGGTCCGAAGGCCCGCCCATTTCAGCTACAGATCTATAAAACAAACCAAAAAACTGTGCTGAAAGTGTGTTCACAGGAATCATTAATAAAAAAAGTGTGCCGCCCCCGTTAGGGCTGGGTAATTTTATTACCCTTACCAGTGAGGTTATTTGTTTAGTAACGGAGGCAGCACACTTTTTTTTATTAATGATTCCTGTGAGCACACTTTCAGCACAGTTTTTTTGGCATGGTTTTTTCAAATCAAATCAAATCAAACATCATTTATTCCATGATAAAAAATTACAAAACAGTATTCTTAATAATAATGGAATTTCCCCACATAGGCGAAGCCTGTGCGTGGGGAACGAGTTATTATCAGACTATCCATATTATAATCTAACATCGTTTTAATAATAATTGTTACACTAACTACTAATTACACATTTACCAAAAAGGAAAAAAACATTTTTACCAGGAAGCCACAGCAGATAACGAAAGTATTATGTAAATATCTGAAAAGTGTAAAGATAGAGACAAATCTATTAAAAAAAGAAGAAAGTAATAATAATAAATAAATGATAAAAACCTAGAAAAAAGGGTATTTAAGGGTACTGTATTTAATAATACTGTGAAAAGCACTGGGACTTGGAAACCATTCATACATCTTCTACCCACACTCACGCACAAACAACACACACTCACACACACACAAAACGCATGCAACGACTCACTACTACAGGCCCTGTACAGGCGGCTGGTAGCCCTTAAAGCACGGGTCACACTAGGCTGGCATCAGCGGCGAATTGAAAGAAGCCGCGACTGTCAGCTTAATGTGACCACAAAATTCGCAGCTGACACTGAGCTGACTCAGCCTGGATTGGTGAGCCGGTGATGCTGGTGCCAGCTGCTGATCACCAGCGGCTGGCGAACAGCCTAGTGTGACCCGTGCTTAAAGGGCCGTCACTGCTCTGTCCCTGTGGGGCTGTGGGCCAGCGGCGAGCCGACTCTCTCTCTCTCTCTCATGCAACTCTCTCACTCACTCACTCACTCACTCACTCTCCCACTCACACAGACAGGCACATCATCGACGACACACGCACACGCACACACACACGCACACTACGAATACAATGACACAAGATAACAATCAATCTGGCCACGGCCTGTTTCCACTAACCATTTATCTACTTGATTTTTATATATTTGCAAACTGCAAGGTTCGGGATACTTTAAACTATTAGGTAACTTTGAGAACATTATTTTTGCAATGTATTGTGGAGAAGTTTTATTTATCGATTTATTCACTTTTGGCAATTGGATACCAATATTAACTGAAAATCTAGTTGGATAGTTGTGAGTTGGTTGGCAAAAAATATATTGTTTATTCTTAAAAATATATATTATTACAGATCTAGTATATAGCTGGGAAATATTAAGTACTTTGAACTCATCAAAAACTGTTTCAGAGGGATATCGAATAGGTTTGTGGAGTGTGCAATCTTGATTATTCTTTTTTGAATAATTTCTATTGGTGCAAGTATACTTTTGTATCCTCCACCCCAGGCCAGATTTCCATATTGCAAAACAGATTGTACATAAGCATAGTAGACATTCTTTAACAAATTAATTGGTAAGATATTTGATAGGTTTGCAAAAACAAAGATAAATTTACGTAGTTTGACCCTGATTTGATTAATATGGCCAGACCATTTTAAACGTCGATCAAATATCACACCTAAATATTTAAATTCACTGACACATTCGATACTTTCACACTTGTCACACACATTGCCAGCGCTACAACTATGTAGTTTTAATTCTAGGTTTCTAGGGTCGTAGTCAGCTCTGAGGGAGATTGGCATATACTTAGTTTTAGATATATTTACAGTGAGTTTATTTTGATCGAACCATCGCTTGACGGTGAGTAAGCCCCGCTCCGCACCTTGATACACCTCCTCCCAGCTATCGCCCTCAAACAGAAGAGCGGTGTCGTCGGCATACAGGAAGATCTGTCCAGCTTCCAGATTAATTTTACCAAGGTTATTGATGTATATTAAGAATAAAAGAGGTCCCAAATTTGATCCTTGAATTACTCCATAGTCAATGTTTTGTTGTGTACTACTCATTCCTAATGGAGACTATTTGGGAACGATTAGAAAGGTAATTTTTAAACCAATTATAAGCAGTTCCAGTAACCCCTATACACCTCAGCTTGTCCAGAAGCAGCGATCTGTCAACAGTATCAAATGCCTTGGCCAAGTCAATGAATACTAAAAGAGGTTTTTTTGTTTTTATTAATTGACTCATGTATACGTTAGTTAGAGAGTAAAGATTGTCATTCAAATTTTTGTCTTTGCTTGTAGATCTGTAGCTGAAATGGGCGGGCTGGGTAATTATTACCCTTACCACTTAGGGGTTATTTGTTTAGTGACTTGGGAGGCACACTTTTTTTTATTAATGATTCCTGTGAGCACACTTTCAGCTCAGCTTTTTAGCATGGTTTATAGATCTGTAGCTGAAATGGGCGGGCTGGGTAATTTTATTACCCTTACCAGTTAGGGGTTATTTGTTTAGTAACGGGGTTGGCACACTTTTTTTATTAATGATTACTGCGAGCACACTTTCAGCACAGTTTTTCGGCATGGTTTATAGATCTGTAGATAAAATGGGTGGGCTGGGTAATCTCATTACCCTTACAACTCAAGGGTTATTTGTTTAGTAACGGGGGCGGCACACTTTTTTTATTTATGATTCCTGTGAGCACACTTTCAGCACAGTTTTTTGGAATGGTTTATATATCTGTAGCTGAAATGGGCGGGCCAGCCGTGATTCTGGCCCGCCCAATACAATTAATTATTTCTGAAAAATACAGAAAATATATAGGCCTACGTCTAATAACACTTGCAATGATATATTTACACTTATACTGTTGACTTACAAAACGGTAAAAAGTGTAAATATATTATTGCAAGTGTTATTAGACTGAGCCGTGACTATTTCCACCGGGCGAATGTCACGACTCATGATCAATGGTTCAAGTGTTTTTTTTATAGTAGGCTAGTTCAGTGTTTCGTTGTTACCTCCACGACCCCGAACAAGGCTGTGGGTTTTGTTCTTATTATTCCCACCGCCCAGCACTTCAGAGGTTGCGTGACAATCAACTAGTTAACCTCGCAGACATTTTTCATCGTTTTAAATCGCCCTTTTGGCACATGAATTATACAAGGTTGTGTATGTTTTTTAATTTGTGCTTAGTCTGCGAGGTTATGGAGTAGTTCAAGTGCGCCACGCGCGCCTTTTGGGGCCCATGTGTGCGGTGAAACTGTAACACCGGAAGAATGGCGGAGAAAGTTACCACCTTGAGGCCTCTGTTGGAAGTTGGAACTCTGGCCAGCCCCTCTCCGTCCATCTTCAACGGCTCAACAGTGTCCTGTACCTGGATAGAATGAAGGAAAACCGCAACTACCGCAAGTTTTAGGCCTAATTAATTATTGATAACCACCGTCCTGGACTTGGAGATTTCGTTATTTGTTAATTGTGCACAGAAATTTATTAATTGTTATTCTTTTCAAATTTTAAATTCTTTAGCCTAGGCTACTTGTTGATTTTTTTTTAGATTTTATAATTTATTACATATTTTATTAAATTTCAATTTTGGGGCCCCTAAATCCTTAAGGTTACCAATTCCAGATGAAAGATATATATATTTATATATTTATTTACTGTTGCAATTTTATAATATTTTAGTAAAAAAAAAAAAAAAAAATAAAACTGATTAAATTTACTTTGACTGAAATTAGCCTATTTGAATTTTTTAAATTAATGTTTGTAAGTTTGTAGGTCAGAGTGGTATCAAAATTATTTAAACTTTAATTGAGAGTATTTACTTCATGTATTGTTGTTAATGTTATTGTTGTGTTATTCTTTTAAATGGTTAATTACAGCTCGTTTCTCTCAAATGGCGTGTTGTTCTTGAACCTCCATCCATGGTTCTCATTTTGTTAAGTAAAGTTTTGTGAGCCGCTCCTCGGGCCTGCGCATGGATCACGCTTCCTTTTCGTTAGTCTGGGTGCAGGCACGAGGGCATGGTTCAAGACGTATATATTTTCTGTATTTTTCAGGAAATTTAATAACACGTACGATGCTAATCAAGAAGTTATTAATTAATTATATCACAATTATTAGAAGAGCACACTTTTTTTTAATAGCCGTTATGAATAGCACACTTTTATGTATTCATTTAAAAAAAAGTGTGCTGGAATGGGCGATCCAGCTTCACGTCACTAACTTGAAGGACAAGACTAGAACAGAACCAAGAAAGAACGGCGCCGGCGCGGTAGCGGCGCGCGGCGGTGGCGTTTGTTTAAGGCGGCTCGGTTTCCTCTGTCAGGAACTGATGAGAACCTCTTTAGAGAAGGAGTGGGGGGCGTGACGTCACTCTGCTCTTTATGGAACACCATTACCGTAACGAGACGATATGATTCCATCGGTGTTCGTGACGTAGTTGATAGCGTCTCGGACTCGTGATCTGGAGGTCCCCGCCCGGAGTTTGAATCCCGCCCGAGACACTAACTTATTGTCCAAGGCTTTGCTTAGATTGCGAATCTTTTGTTAGAATTTGAGGCATTTATAATTTTATTTATGAACAGAACTATTTTTTAAAATTAGTAAATCTTCATTAGATTTTTCATTAACTTATATATTTTCTATATTATCAGCAAGTTTAGTTGGTTCGGTTAGGTTATGTCAGTTTAATTTTATAATAACACATTTTAAAATTAATTTTATAATTAAAAATTAATTATAAGTAGACCTTTATTCGATTTTTAGGCTATTTTATATCTTTTTAGCGAATTTCCCATATAGGGAATAAGCTATTACCGTAGTACTGATGGTAAGACCTGGACCCGGGACCGATTAATTTTTTCGTTTTGAGGTCCATAGAGGCCAAAAACACCATCCGTTCAAATTCATATATATATATATATATCATCAGATTTTTATGAAATTTGGTACAAACGTGTAAACCTACGTTTATTCGAACGAGTTCGTGAACCAGCATGATCGGACTATATGAACAGGGGTTTTATGGGGTAAAAATTGGTTTTTCCTATTTTTGAGCCTAAAAACTTAAAATTTAGCAATTTCTTTTCAAAACATTTTGTAGAGCTTAAAAAAACAAATAATTTAGTATATTGAAGTGTTGTTATGCGCCTGGTTACAGAGAAAATTCCAAAAATCGGTTAATTTAAAATTCCCATGTTATTCTTATGGAGAATAAGTAAACTGTTAAGTTGTAGTTTGCTTGTTTATGAACATATTTTGATCAGATTTGGAAAATGCATTAATTTCATACTGAACTATTAACATTTTACAAAAAAAACACACCTTTTTACCCTCCCTGTTACAGCAAACCTAAGTACTCGTTAAACTAAAGTTATTTAAATAGGGAATTAATGTGATATTTTTAAGGAGACATTTTAGTGTAAATCCAATCAGACAAATGGAAATTCGCTTAGTCTGCAGGTTTGCTGCGGCGGGGGTATTTTATATTATCAGCAAGTTTGGTTGGTTAGGTTAGGTTATGACAGTTTAATTTTATAATTAAAAATTTTAAAATTAATTTAATAGTTAAAAAGTTAATTTTCTAACTAAAATATTATAAAATAAATTTAAAGATTTTCTTAAATCACGTGTGGGACTCTTCCACAATGACCACAATCCACCACTCTTTCGCAGAAAAGGTTCCCATCAGTTTCTGGAACAAGCGGAAAATGAGACGCTAGTGCTAGTTTGTTGGTGAAGTGAAGTGATCAAGTGGATTGGATCTTGGATCAAGTGAACACAGTGAGAGTGAACGAGAGAACGTGCAGAGGTGCAGAATCGAATCAGAATTATTAAAGAATAAGGGAACTCAGAGAACTCATATTTGCGGCGGTTGTGTTTGTCCTTTCGGCCATTTACTTATAGTATTTATTTATTCAATTATTTATATACTTATCAAAGCATGGCTGACACGGTAAGTTGTATGAATTTATGCTTTTTCTTTTGTTTACTGTCAATTAAATTACAAAATAATATCAATCTTCTGTAACTTAAAGCAATGCTCAATCAATACTTTTTAACGTTCACAATCACATGCTCAAAATGTTGTCATAATTTTTATTTATCCATTATTTTAAATCGTAAGAAAATAATGAATAGAATTAAGATTGCTTTAATTGCCATAATATTTTATTTGGTCTATCTACTAGGCAATTGTTTATAACAATTTTTGAATGGTGTCATTATTTTGAATAAGTTACTTGTCATTATTTTTTAATAAGTTAAGTTACTTAAAACTATTTCCCAACAATTCAACATACAGGTCTAGCCTAAGTTATTCTTTTGCTATGACTTGTAGGTTAGACCTAGGTGTACATCTTGCCATCTTGCCTAAAACGTTAATAGGCCTACCATTACCAACTCCTATGTCGTTGCCCAACACTTGTTGGATAGACTGCGTCAAATAAAATTTACAGTAATAAAACTAGGAATAAAAAAAACATTCTTATTCAACCAATATTTACAAATAGAAAACTAGTGATGGCGGTGCATAGGTATTATATGTTCAAGAAGTACTCGCCAGACACTTCCTCAAAAGAGTAGCCTACAGCGGCTCATTTGTGAGTTCGTTAAAAATCTGCATGGAGAAAGCTTTCATGTCTTCAGTGTGAGCATAGGGAAATGATGACGATTAAGGTGACCAAGAGAACCATACTTAGTAACTTAGGCCTATTTATATATCATTACTTTAGAAACTAAATTGTTACCAAAAATTTAAACATCAACAATTATGCAAAAGTTGCATAGGCTATTTTTGAAAACAAATGGAAACAATGGTGCAAACGTTTGGCAATTATTCCTTATCTAAGTTACATTGGGAAAAGATGTGATTTTAATAACTAACTTAAACTTGCGTGAACCTGGCAATAAGTAGTGCACACGCCATAAAAAATCTATTGCTGGCCGTTTTGCACAAAAATATGGCCACGAAATATATTACCGATGATGCCAACAGATAGAGGCCACTTTAACAGACACGACAGTACAGTATCAACATCATGTACCTGGGGAGTAAGTAAGGGGGGGTAAACTCAGTTTAAGTAGTGTGCGCGCCTTTAAAAATCTATTGCTGGCTGTTTTGCGGAAAAATACGTCCGCGAGCCATATTACCGATGATGCCAACAGATAGAGAACATTTTAACGGCCACACGACAGTATCAACATCATGTACCGGTACCTGGGGAGTAAGTTAGGGGGGGGGGGGGGGTAAAATCAACAATAAGTAGCCTAGTGTATTTGTGGTTCACACCAATATTTTAATAATGTCTAGTCTACCTACAGTCTTTTCACGCTGAATCCAAAAATGCAATCAGTTTTTGTCTGAGAGATTCCTAAGTGGCTGTAAAACGAAGGTTAAAATTAAGTTACGACTAAGGTTCATTGAGCGTTACTGATGGTTATATGGTGTGGTCCATATGCGGGGTCCATATACGGATTCATAACTTAAGTTACCGTATGTGGGCTGAGGACTGAGTGAGGAGAGCAAACAGCTGTTTACACTCGACTTAACGCAGAATGAAATCAATTTCGTTCTGAAACTAAATAAGTTATTCAGCTCTTATTTAGGCATGTGGGGAAGGTAGGTCAGGTTTTATGCGGATTCGTGACTGTATTTAAGTGTTAGGTTCGGTTCTAGGTTACAAGTTAGGTTAAAAGGTCAAAAGCTAGGTTAGGTTCGGAAGGTTAATAATAAACCTACTCATTAATTTATGCTACCTCCAGACTGTTTTTGCACAATTCAAATAGTGGGTGAGACATAATAAAATTAACAATAAGTTAACAAAAAAATACTTGCAAGCTTTCTTCATATTGTTATTATATTGTGTTTCATCCACTATTTTAATTGTGCAAAAACAGTCTGGAGGTAACTTAGCATAAATTAATGAGTCGGTTCATTAAGCATTGGGAAAGTTAGTCAAAAATTATAACTAGTTAGAAGTTATTAGTTAGTCCCGTAAATGTAACTGATAGAAGTTATTAGTTGGTTACAGGTACCTAGTTTAAAAAGTAACTGATAGAAGTTATTAGTTGAAAAACTAACTAATAGAAAAAAAAAATAGTTTTCATAGTAAGTAAGCTATTTGTTGGGCAGTTGTTTTAAGGGATTTCGTAATGACACATGTTGGTTACTAATCTATACTACTGTATACATATGAGTAAATTTTGCGCACAATGATTAAAAAACTGCTCCTACAATTTCCTCACATTGCAATGCTATTGAGAATTGCTTATATAATACAGTTGCATTGTATGATGTATTACTAACCAAATTACGATTGTTCAAAAACAAAAGGTAAGTGTTTTACCGCAAAACATTATACACTGATATTGAACTAAAGATCTAAAGGAAAGGCCAAGTACGTTTTGTAGTTTTCGAGGATGCACCGCACGAATTGATGCGTTATTACACCATCCAGTAATTATATTTGCGACGTTCCGCGATCCCAGTGACTTATTGCAATAACGTTCAACAGATAACAGATGTTATGTATCATGAGTTTTATTGATTGAAGCTTATTGTAGACATTTTATAGATTGCTCATCCACATGAAAAAAGTTTGGTAGACTAAATTAAGCTAAGTGCTAAATTAAGCTAAGATAAGTGGATGTCTAACGAAAACGAATTGACTTTACAACTTAATTAACCGTGATAAGACTGAAAATATTTGTAGGCTTATAAGCTCTATTTTTTTCTTCTTGAACAAATCAAACACCTCGAGCAAGCTCGGTCCTATGGTACTTGTGTTTTAATCAAACATTATCACATTTTACATTACTACAACAGAAACAAATGACTTAAAACTTGTCAAATAATGAACATTAACTGAAGAAATGTTTTGACACTTGAGATGATATATCAATCACCAAACAAACATTCCCCCTCCCCACCCCTCAGTGCTTGGGGTGTGATAATGGCCGTCACTACCCTTCCACAGGCCCACTGCATTCCAAAGCAACTGGACTTTGATTTTCTCTTTCCCACCCTCTGCGTTGTTTGTCTACAATGGCGCTGACCTCTCACGGCCGCACGCAACCCTCACTGATCACGTGAAAAAAATAATCAGTATTTGAGTTGCTTCCGCATAATTGGAAAGTTTAAAAATTCTAGCTAGTTAAAAGTTATTAGTTAGTTAGTTTAAAAACTAACGAATAAAAAGATAGATTTAATAGTTGAGAAAATCAATTCAGACAAATGGAAATTCGCTTAGTCGGCAGGTTTGCTGCATCGGGGGTATTATTTATAGATATTTTGATAAAACTTGGCAAATATATTGATTTTAAACTAAGCTATAATTATTTTACTTAAAAACACACTTTATTAGTTTCCTTGTAGCAGCAAACCTAGGTACTTGTTAAACCTAATATTATTTAAATAGATCAACTGAAAATCAATTCAGCCAAATGGAAATTCGCTTAGACGGCAGGTTTGCTGCGGCAGGGGTATTATTATTATTGTAATGCCTCTAATCTACTTGTCTCTGTCGCCATTACTGTGTTTTAAGACGACAAACATTAAGTTATACAAAGAGGTAGAGGCGTTTATAAATTCAACTGAATGTTGATTATGAACTACTTAGCATAATCAGTTATTATTTAGACATGTGAGGTAGGTAAGTTAGGTCAGGTGTTATGTGGATTCGTGACTGTAGATTAGGAAGGTACAGTTTAGTTTGTAATTGTTGTGACTTTGAATTAGAGTTCATAATAAGCACGCATTTGAATAAACTCTTTTATTGAAAGTAATATTTACAACTGCAAATTGAAAAGGTAAACATTGTTTTATATCTAATGACAACAGCTGATAATATACAGTATAAAGAATACTACAATCTCCCCCACTTATTTTCAACTCATTTTGTAACATAGTCTTTAAGGTAATCTGGAGCTTTATGAGTGCGGGTTGAACATCGTACTCGTGGTCGTGGTGATGTTGGTTGTAAGTTCTCTTCAGCTGGTAATTGGACTAATTCTGGAACTTGGATAGGAACTTGCTGTTGCGGAAGTATGGGTACTTGCATTGGGACTTGTGGAATTATGGGAACTTGATTAGGTACTTCTTCACATTCGTTGAAACGAACCTTCTTTACTTGAGTTTTCCGGAGTTGGTCTAGATGACGTTTCAGTGTTCTTCCAGAATCTAACCTTACAATATAGTGAAGAGTCCCTAGTTTCTGTATAATCTCACCAAATGTCCATATATATTTATTATTTTGTGAATACTCCCTAATGAGAACTCTCTCCCCCACATTGAATGTTCGAACTCTTATTATCGAAGGAGGATTCTTTGCCGGATGGTAAGGTCGAAGAGCATCCAGCTTGATGCGGATCCTACGATGAAGATATCGTTCTGCAGGTGATTGTCCATTTGAGAGAGGAGTGGCGCGATATTGTTGAAGAATCTCTTGAACCTTTGTATGTATTTGACGATGGTCATCTTCCAATGCTTTTAATCTTTGCTTCAAAGTCTGGATAGTTCTTTCAGCAAGACCATTTGTAGCTGCATGTCCAGGTGCAATCAGTTTCTGGAAAATTCCATTGGATGAACAGTATTTCTTGAATTCTGCGCTGGTGAAAATTGTGGCATTGTCTGATACCATCACTTGAGGATAGCCATTAGATGAGAAAATGTTGTCGAGAAGAATGATAGTATTAGAAGTTGTAGGAGCATTTCTCAATACTTTAACTTCTACCCACTTTGACTTGGCACACACACAAACAAGAAAGTAGTGGTTTTGAAAAGGCCCCGCGTAATCTATATGAATACGCTCCCAGTTTTCTTCTGGCTCTACCCATGGATGAAGGGGTGCTTTGGGAGGATTGAATTTTATGTGGGCGCAAATTTCACACGATTGGACTAATTTCTCTATGTCCTTGTCAATCCCTTGCCAATAAACGTATCTTCGGGCTAATTGCTTCATCTTTGTAATACCAATGTGAGTAGCATGTAGTTGCTGTAAGATTTGAGGTTGAAGGCTGGTAGGAATGACAGCACGAGTTTCCTTGAAAAGTACTCCGTTGTCCAATGTGTATGGTAGGTCAGTAGAAGAAGACAAAAGTTTCCTTTTAATTTCCCTAAGATTTTGGTCAGCTTCAGTTTCCCGGGCTAGAATAGTTGCATTTAAATGTTCAGAAGATATTTCAAAAATTGTTTCTGAATGTAGCAAGGTAACTTCATTGTTTAGGAAAATGTCTAAGGTTTCAGACTGTTGAGTCACTGGAGCTCTGGATAAACAATCAACATTAGCATTTGCTTCCCCTTTCTTGAAACGTATTGAATAGTTAAACCCTGATAGAAAAGATGCATAACGGAGTAGACGGCTGGAAGTCATGGGTGGTAAGGATTTGCTTTCATGGAAAATTCTTGAAAGAGGGGCATTATCTGTAATTAAGGTGAAGTGAAGTCCATACAGATAATTGTAAAAATGACTGACTCCAAACACGATCGCAAGAGCTTCTCGATCGAGCTGACTGTAATTTCGCTCTGATGGAGTTAAGGATCTGGATGCGTAAGCGATCGGTTTCTCTTCATCATCAATTATGTGACTCATTACAGCTGCAATTCCGGTAGGACTGGCATCACATGTTAGAACGATTGGACGATGGGGGTCATATGGTACTAGAACTCTTTTAGAAGTTATTTCCTCCTTGAGACAATCAAATGCAGATTGACAATCTATTGACCAATGAAATCTTCTATTTTTCTGTAGAAGCTGTCGAAGAGGTGTTGTTTTTGTAGATAGGTCTGGGATGAACCGAGCGTAGTAGGTAACCATTCCAAGAAATTTCCGAACCTCATCAATATTCCTTGGTTGAGGCATATTACAAACAGCTCTAATCTTTTCTGGACTTTTTGAAATTTGATTGTACTTAACCACATGACCAAGATAGTCAATCTGTTCGCAAAAGAATTTGCATTTGTCTTTGTTTAGATGCAAGTCGTTCGCATGTAGACGGAATAGACACAACCGTAAATTATTGTAGCATTCATCTTTTGTTGTACCGTGCACGATTATGTCGTCAAAATAAACTTCAGTCTTTGGTAACCCGTTTAGAATTTGGCTTAGAATGCGATTGAATTCGGCAGGCACGGTCTTGATTCCGAAACTAAGTCTGTGCATCAAGTATGTACCGCGGTGTGTAGTAATAGTTTGAATTTTGCTGCTTGGGGCATCAACTGGAATGTGCAAATAAGCCTTGTAAATATCAAGCTTGCAAAAATATTTAGAGTCTCGCAAACAGTGTAAAACATCTGGAATGTGTTTGATCGGGAAATTAGATGAAACAAGACGATCATTTACGCCTGTTTTGTAATCGACGCATAACCTCACTGTGCCATTTTCTTTAGGAATAACAACTAAAGGCGAACCCCAATCGCTAGCATCGACTTTAGATATTATGCCGGATGATTCAAGACTGTTGAGTTCTTCCTCAACCTGAGATCTAAGTGCAAACGGAACATTACGTTCTTTGGTATACACAGGTTTAGCGTTTTCACGTAATTGAAGTGTAACTTTGTGGTTGGGCAAGCATCCAATTCTTTGGTCAAAAACTGTGGAAAATTCAGAAAATATGTCATCAATTGAATGGAAGGTTTCGGAGACATTGAAAAAGTTAGGTTGATTTGAACCATCATCTATTTCTTGTAGACTTATATGTAAGTGTCGAATCCACACTCTTCCTAGGACTGCTGGACAATTATCAGGAACTATATACATATCTTCAATTGATTTATGGTTTTTGTAAGTAACCTCAACTGTAACTTTGCCCAATGGTTAAATACATTATTTGTATAAGCACGGAAATACACATTAGTTGGGTCAAGTTTGACGTTGAGATTTAACTCATTGAAAGCCTTTTCTGGTATTAATGTAAATCCTGCTCCGGAATCTATCTCAAAACGCATTGGCTTGTTATCAATTGAAACTGTAGCAAAATACTTATGTGAATCGGGTAAATTTGATCGTTCGTTCTGGTCAAATATGTCTATGATATTAGGTTTGGTAACTGGATGAACTTCAGTGATTTGATTTAAGCCTAGCGGAATGTCATCAGAGGTTGAAGAAATGTACTTTGTTGAATTGAACTTAGATTGATTGGTAGAAGACTTATTTTTCATTTGGGTTGAAATGCAAACTTTGGCTACATGGCCTTGTTTCGAACAGGAAGTGCAATGAAGTGATGACTTGCTAGTGCGACACTCAGTTGCGCGGTGATTATTTCTACCGCATCGAAAGCAAAGATCTCCAAAACCTAGGCGATTGAAATCTACTTTTGATTGAGAACGATAAGTATGACCAGAATTTGGATTCTTACGGTAGTTTGAACGACTTCTCTGATGTTTTGTACCTACATTTGAAAGTTTATTGATATCTACATCAGTTGGAATTGAATGCTGATGTTTGTTCAAAGCCTGGGTCTCTAATCGGGAAGCTTCCAAAGCAGTAGCTTTGGTTACAATGTCTTTGAATGAAGTAGTGTCTGATTGTAATAACTGTTCTCGAATCCAGTCATCTTTTAAGCCTCTTATGAATTGAGCTCTTAAAAATGTATCTGAGACTGAAACTTGTTTTGAACATTCACACTGGACTGTAAATTCACATTCAGACAGGTCTTTTTGTAGTGAAGCTATGTATTCAGGAATTGATTGATTTGCTTTTTGATAAGTGTTTAAAAAGTAATGTTGTGAAACTACAACGTTTCTGTGTGGTGAAAGCATGTCACGTAGTGATTTGACCAAAGTAGCAAAATCTAGGTCTTTGATAGGTTTTTCAGGTCCAATTAATGATGAAAGATTATTGTAGTGAACAGAGCCAATTGAAGCGCAAAGAAGTTGTGCTTTTTTCCTTTCATCTGAGATGTTTTTGACAGCAAGATAATTTTCAAAGCGTTCCAAATAGTTTTTAAATTTTTCCTTTTTCTGATCGAAATTTTCAAATGGTTGAATACTTACTAACGTATTACTCTGCTGTACTGGAGGTTGAAGTTGAAGTTTTTCAGTAATCTTCGTTGCAAGTGTAGCTGCAAGTGTGACTTGGCTCTCAGTGAATGCTTTCAGTAGTGCTGTAAATTGTTCTGCATCCATAATGTAAAAAATCGAAATTTAGAAAAGGTTTTAAATCCAAATAATGAGTAGAAATTTTGAAAAACTTTTTCTCGTCGCCAATTGTTGTGACTTTGAATTAGAGTTCATAATAAGCACGCATTTGAATAAACTCTTTTATTGAAAGTAATATTTACAACTGCAAATTGAAAAGGTAAACATTGTTTTATATCTAATGACAACAGCTGATAATATACAGTATAAAGAATACTACAGTAATGAATAAAATTGTTGATTTACGTTATCTCCAGACTGTTTTTGCACTTTGTAAATAGTGCTATAAACACAACAAAAAAATATTTCTAAAATGCTTGCATTTTAATGGCTTATGATCAAGTAGCCTAGCCATCTATAGGCCTTTTCTGTAGATCATCTTTTTAAATAGGCCATTGCCTATGCATTGAAACAAATAAATAAAAATAAAATACAACAGGCAATTAGGCTTAAATGGTTTATGTCATACTTTCAATTCCAACTCACTTCATAGACCCAGCATGCACACACAGACCCGAGATTTAATTTTCTGTGTTGTAATATTATTTTGGCTAGCCCATCAGTATTGAAATCAAATTGATTTATATGGCCAAATTAACCATAAATTACACTCTTGGTGTTAACCACAAGTCAATAATACAAGATTAGGTACCGTTTGAGTACTACCTATGTTATGTGGATTGATTTTTAATAGTTGATTGATAATTTTAGTCTCAACACAAATTTACTCAAGTTAAGGCACTGTTACAGTAAATATTGTATTGTTTTTTCTGTGGATTAATAGGCCTACCATAAGGGTCAAATAAAAAAATATTGTCTAAATTAAAAATGGAACCAGTACCAATTACTCAAATTATTACAGATGCAAGTGCCTGTGCAAGTGATGAAACCCGAGTGCATTAAACAGGAGGAAAGAAGCATGGGGCCTGGCATGTTGGCTGCTCAGCGTATGAACAATATGCATGGACGCCCACGAGGCAGACTACCGAGAACAATACATCGCCCTACACCTGCAGAACTGCCTTTGGAAGAGGCAGCAAAACGGGTAAGTCAACCAAAGGTTTGTGAGCATTTCCAAATCTGAATTAGGCTCTGTGATTCAAATGGCCGACATTTTTGTGAGTCAACTAAAAAAAAAAAAAAAAAAAACAGAACTGCGAGTGAGTAACGGCAATATTATTCATCTCAGAAATTTTGTACTTGTTGATGTAATATCATAAAGAACTAAACTAAAGGTAGAGCAAAATTTAAAACTCATGATAAATAAGGGTTTTCTCTTTGTAGGGTCAAGTACTAACATAATTTTTTTTAACATAATAATTTTGAATACACAACCTGGATATTCCAGGTTGTATTATTCAAAACTTCATTTAAGGTTGTCTTTGGATTTTATTTATATGCATCGCTGGGTACAAGTATTAAACACTTCTAAGGTTTTAAGTAGTAAGGTTTTACTACTAACAAAAGCTACTGTAATATTTGATACCTCCGCCGCAGCAAACCTGCAGACTAAGCGAATTTCCATTTCCCTGAATGGATTTACACTAAAATGTCTCCTTAAAATTATCACATTTATTCCCTATTTAAATAGAATCAGTTTAAAACATACTTAGGTTTGCTGCAACAGGGAGGGTAAAAGTGATTTTTTATGGGAAAACCCCATTTTTACCCCATAAAAGCCCCCATAAACCCCCGTTCCCATGGTCCGATCATGCTGGTTCACGAACTCGTTCGAATAAACGTAGGTTTACACGTTTGTACCAAATTTCATTAAAATCGGATCATTTTTGCTCTAGTTATCGCGCTAACGGACACACTAATATATATATATGAATTTGAACGGATGGTGTTTTTGACCTCTAGGGACCTCAAAACGAAAAAAAAATCGGTCCCGGGTCCAGGTCTTACCGTGAGTACTACGGTAATAGCTTATTCCCTATATGGGAAATTCGCTAATATGGGGTCCAGTTAATAGTGTCACTCTGGGAGGCAGTCTCAGAAGTTGCTCAAATTTTGTTATGTTGGTACGAACTAGGGAAATCAACCATTGGCTTAAATCCTCAAATTGACTTATTAGCTCGAATGGCTCTTTTGCAATCCCACAATCCCATATTCCTCTAGTTCCAATGTACCAAGTATAAGGTACTCTATTTCTTTGTACAAATTGGCGGCCAACGTCTTGCAATTCTCTCATTCAGTGCTACCCTCTAGTTGTATTTCTAGCTCTGCGGTGTTCATACTGCAGGAGCTGCTCAGTCTTAAATGAACGACTCTAAAATATGAGTGGGTACAAAGTTATTGGTGTTACAGGAGATGCAGGCACTTCCCTCCAAAACACCAGTGTCTGTACTGCAGGAGCTGCTCAGTCGCAGAGGAACAACTCCAAAGTATGAGTTGGTTCAGGTGGAGGGAGCCATTCACGAGCCGACTTTCCGCTACAGGGTCACCGTCGCAGATGTCGTAGGTCAGTACAAAATAAAATGATACACTGATGTAACATCGAATAAAATTTAACTCTGAAAGTGTAAAAAATTGGTTGGTAGGGAGATGGTCTGTATTAGGCTGGTACTACATTGGAAGCAGAATTTCTGCTGTCTGACCACTGCGGTCTGAGTGAGCTGAGCAAGGGTACACTCGCACCTGTTTTAGTGCTGGAAAGGAGGAACGGGCCTGAGCTTGTCTGACACAAATCAAACTAATTTGTTTTTCATCCAGTCAGTCCCAGTGGCTAGAAAACTTTGGCCGAGGTTGATGCAGAGATTTCTAGAAAAATAGTTTTGTTGCTTAATCTATAATATTAAAACGAAACAGTGTTTTTTTATTTCATTAACCACTGAACGAACTATTGAATCAACCACTCGACGGATTTTCATGATTTTTGTGTTGAAAGAAAGATAATTTTGAGAGCTAGGGAATGTCGAAGCCATAATTTTAGTTTAGGGTCCCAGTTTTTTAGAAATTAAGTTTTAATTTAAAAAAAGTCTAGCAGCCGACGCTAAGATTCTAAACTAGCTTTTGGCATAAAATAATTTGCTTAACATAACAGCTGTAAACATTCAGCTTTTGTGTCACAAATTCAGCATTTGGATAAAAATGTAAAGACATACTTAGGGTTGACTTATTTATACTATGTGTAATGCTAATCGTTGATACGTTAAATTCTTCTGTAAGAGGATGACAGATTAATCAAATATACATAGTAAAATACTAGGATGTTCAAATTATTTTTTAAAGCAATCTTTGTAATCTTCGATTTGTTTTAGAGCAATATAATTTGTTTTAACTAACAGCTGGTTAAATATAAACTATGGAACTATAAGGTTATTTTATTTTTGTCATTGATTATAGGAAATAAGTAAGATTAGTAGAGATAATTAGACCACAGTTTAAACCACAGTACAAATCGAGGCTCTGTACACGAGTCTTAATAAAAAAGGATAAATGCAAATTATTTTACTGCTCCACTTTTCAAGGAAAGATTAGAAAAATAACAAAGTTTACATGTTTTAATTCTTCATGGTAGCTTTGTTTACAATTAATGTTTGTCTGCTTTAACTTTGTTTGGATTAGGCCCGGAAATACTGATGTCATAAAAAGAAGATCAAGAATAATCATGAATCACGATTTTAAATTACCACCACAACCTCAGCCGGGCTTTATACAAAGATAAACAGATGGATGACATAGATTGAACACAACGTCAACATTGACCTAGGATACTGCAATTAGACAAACCATCCTTTTATGAAATCGTGTTCAGTCGTGGTTACGTTTGGGGGCGCCTATATCAGCGCCCCCAAACGTGAAAATATCACTTTTATTAAACTAACTAATATGGAAAATTGCGATGTACATTTATTCAATGAGGGTGGGTAATTATCAAGGATAGATCTGATAACGGTATGGATAATAAACATTGACAATTACGTCATTAGCTTTACTAGCGTAGCGTGTTTACTTTTTATATTCCTGCTACATGTGACCAGTTCTTTTTTTCAAATGAATTTTATTTGAACCAAACAGCTGTTTCAAAACAAACTGTTAATGTTTTTACTTTTCTTTACGCTTATTTATTTAGCAATTAATGCAGTGAAATTGATATGAAGGATAGGTGTGACAATTAGTTTTGATGTTAGGACACTAAAGTTAAATTATGTGTACTGTGAATTTTATTGGATACTATCGTTTTATTTTAGGTCGTTTCTATTCAGACCTCCTGGAAATTGTGTATAGTAGTTGTATTGTGGTGATAATAATTATGAAAGAAGGTATGCTATGGAAGGTGGTATCGTGGACTAGGTCTATACACTTCCCAATTGACAATTACTCTCTCTACTGTAGCTACTTATAATTAGTGTGCGTCTGTGCGAATCGGCTGCAAATGTCACTTCAACGCTTTTCACATCGTAAAAATTGCAGAATTGCTGTTTTAGCGAATTTCCCCTATAGGGAATAAGCTATTATTGTAAACTTATCGGATTTAAAATGCATATCGTATAGGCATATGATGGAATCAAAACATATTTGGTCACACAACATTTGTTTACAAGATGATTTTTCACATTAAAACTGCAAGAAACTTTGTCTTTATATGTGTAAACTAGCTGATCTGAATTATTGTACACGGTTTTAACTGACTACTGAATTCCCGTACGTAGGACGGGATAACACCTCGTAACAATAATTATTTTTTATTATTGTTATTATTTTTTTCAAGAACAACTGTAACCTTTTTACTTTGCTAATGTTTTTGGTAGATATTTAAATTTTACTAACATGTAAGTTACGTTTAAATTAATTAAAATAAAGATATTCTTGACAGTAATTGTGTTCAACAAAATTAACAGATTTTTAGGATGGCTCTACACAGGCCCTGAAGTTACTTCACTTCCGAATGTTTTTATAGGTAAGAACAGAACAAGTGGGTTGCGGTGAAGGTGTAGATCACGGTCGCATTCAACAATCATGTAAATCAAACACATTGTTGTTAACCAGGCCTAGCGTAACAAACAGTCACGGTGGGGGTGCATCGCGCTGCCATCCAGGAGGTCTACAGCGAAGCTTTTAAAAATCAAACTCATTTGATTTAGATTGATGCTTACCGCGCGGTTTAGCTGGCTACTTCGCTGTGATTGGTTCAATTGTTTTATTAAATCTTAGGTTCAACCTATTGTTGGTGTTGTAAATCGAATGCTCCTTGGTTCTCGTATGTATTTATGCATCTGTTTTTTCTTAAATGGTGTGATGAGAAATGCAGCAGTCCAACTGAGGAGTAAGTAATTCCAGTCATACAATAAAAAGTTTCTGGAGTCATCCTCATGTACAAACAAAATCGATCAGGGTCGTTTTTGAGTTCACTGAAAACGTGGAGGTATTCGCCTAAACTGTTTCTTCACCTATTTATTGGGTGGACTGAAAACCGCTTGTTAGGTAGACTTCCAATTATCCACCTCTTAGTTGCCGCTGAGATTTCATCACTATCCGAACTTGAATCAAACAACATTGCACCAAGTATAGGACTATTTATTTTGATTAACTCCAATAGTCTGAGCTCCACAGACGGCGCCGGTGACCTTCACGCTATGTGCAGTCAGCATCGACCGTGACTTAACAAGTGGCATCCTCCGCGACCTACAGCTCCACCGCGACTCATTTGTAGGCTACTGTTCTTACCCTATGTGTGACAAAATGGTAGTCAAACATTTTGATCGTCATTCTGTGATAATTTTTTAATTTGTCTGAATAGGTAAGCAGGTTGCGTAGTATTTGCTTTGCCTGTGGTCTTCATTAAACTCATGAACCCACTTTCTCATGGGTGTCTTAAGTAGTAAATTGTTGTCCATAAAAAAATTTCCTCGTTAATTTTCCAAAGTGAAAGCAATAAATAAATAATCACCAAACACAACTAGGGTAAAGGAAACTTAGCTCGTCGAGAGCAAACACACTGTATTGTGACTGTGAGACTGACTGGCCGCAGTGTAGGAGCGCCGAGCCCGGCTTCTGGTCTATTATGATTGGTGTTGATTATAATTTGTAAAATCGGTCAGTTTTACTTTATTTGATGACGAGTGCTGTTGTGAATAATTGTGTCGTGTCAGTGTGTTTTCAGAATGTTTGATATATGTTCTTTTTCTCTAAATATCATTGTTTATGCTTTAATTTCAGCAATGGGTATCGGCCGGTCTAAAAAGGAAGCCAAGCATGCAGCAGCAAAAAATGTTTTGGACAAGTTGATTGGAAACACTGACCCTAACATGATGAATTCTATGTCCAACTCTATTAATGACCAGTTATTGTAAGTTTTTAAAACCAATTTTACCTGATTGAAGCTCTTGTTGGAAGCTAATTTAGGACCATGTCAAAGCTCAAAACAATAAAAGTTGATGTGTTGGGTTAATTAATTATGATTTAAGTCCGTTATTTTGTTTGGTTCTGTCATTTGCAATGACTCATTTTACGTTCCTGTTTGTTAGTTGATTGTTTTAGGCTCTGCCAAAAAATATTCAATATTAAAAAAATAATTCATGCATTTTGTTTCATCCATTATTAACAAACTTGAGAAATATGAGTGTATGTTTCATTTTAATCAAAACTTCATTTAGTAAAATTGCTTAGTCCTTAATTAACAATAGTGAAAAAGTGTGACCTTGCCAAGGCAGATATAAAACTGGACTTTTGACATTTCAATTAATTTTAATTGGTTTACAGTTAAATTTATTTAGAATCACTCCCTCACAATCTACTCAGAGCCTACTTCATATGAATTAATTATTTGTAAAGATTAGCTCAAATAAAGTTAACTTTATAATGTAATAATTTACCAGAATGCAGTTTTTTATTACTGTTAATAATTAGCTAAAATTGCTATAACACTAATAAGTTTAAGTTATAAATGGATATTTTGTTAAATGATATTGGTATGAATAAGTAAACCTTCATTCTTAAATAATTTAGGAAAAAGAAAAAATGACCAAGTGAAAAAGGTATTATCTTGAAAATGGTTGAAATACTGATATAGAGTGGGGAAACCCCAGGAAATAGGTTCAAAGTTTGTTGATAAAGTACAGGTTTCTGACCTGTCTTTGCTGGTTTTGTTACTCAGTGGCCTTAGTCCTTTCCACCTACACCAGTTTACATGATAATAGTTCAATTTGACTTACAGTTTATTGTTATAGTTATAGTTTAATATTTATTTCAATTTTCACTCATATTTTGAGGGTAAGCCTGTACATTAAAATCAAATAGGCCTACTACATTATTAACATCACACAATTCAAGCGGAGCTAGTAAAACAGGTGACATTTTTATATCACACAGTAAAATAAAATAAAATAGAATAATAATAACTAGAGGACCCATGCTGATCTGCAGCTTTAAAATAAATATAATATCCGTGAAATAATCAAATTTATGATTTTTGATTTTTATAAGACTCTTTAAATTTATCGAACATCCATTATGCCAAATAGTAAATCAGTCCATTTTTAAGAGTTGTTAGCCTCCGGATTACGTTTGAATATTTATAATGGTTTAAATACCTGCATTCAGTAATCCAATATGCTGCTTGTGGCAACTATAGTTTCGGTTCACAGGGAACCATCTTCATTCCGTACAAGGCGTCGTTATTCACTTCCATATATGAAGGTCGTCATTTAATAAATAAGTACATAGAACACGAACACACGAAAACGCACATTGACACGAACATTTAACATTAAAAATACCAAGTACTCGGGAACATGAGACAGGTGACGCGACCGGGTGGAAGTTGTAGCTCGAAACTATTGTTGCCACAAGCAGCATATTGGATTACTGAATGCAGGTATTTAAACCATTATAAATAAATCAGTCCCTTGACGAGGGTGTTTTTCCTGATAAGCTTAAGTTTGCTGAGATTAAACCGAAAAGGGTGATGTCAACGATCCTTCTAACTATCGTCCTATAGCAATTTTGCCATGTTTTTCAAAGATTTTTGAAAAAATTGTTAAGATTCAGCTAACAGAATTTTTGGAAAGCAATAATGTAATAAATCCGTCACAGTTTGCTTTCCGCCCAGAGCTTAGTACTGAAAAATCCATAACAAAAATAATTGACTGCATTGCGGAAGCCTTGGATGGTTCGCAGAAGACTGTGGGTGTGCTGTGTGACTTATCCAAGGCTTTTGACTGTGTGGATCATGATATACTTTTAGAAAAACTAAGTAAGCATGGAATAAAAAACACTGAATTAAAGTGGTTTGGATCCTATTTAAAAAACCGAAAACAAAGACTTATTTTTAATTGTTCAAGCCATTTTTGAGAAAATCCTTTTTTTTTTGTTATTTTATTGGTTTTTATGAAAAATCAAAATTTTGAAAAAATAAAAAAAAAAACGCCTGTAAATACCATGGATTAGTACCTACAGACCAAATTTCATCAAAATCGGACTACAGGTATGGACTGTAGCTCTGTACACATCCACACACACTCACTTCGAAAACCACTTTTTTGGGTTCATGGGGACCCAAAACGGATACATCCACTCAAAACTCATACTCAAAAATTTTTACGAAAACAATACTTTCTCCATAGGCCTATACTATGAGGGGGAGAAAGTAAAATACGAATTAAGACAAAAGCAATGTCTAGGATATTGTAAATTATTTTTTGAGCTTGTAGGTTGCTGATACATTTAATTATTATCGTTCTTGTGGTATTAAATTTTTAGATTTACCATAATTTCCTATGCGGTGAAGGCACAGTAATCTCATATTTAATAAATGTTTTTTTTTATGTTCTTTTGGTACAAATGATAAAGTTCTTCAATTATTATTATGAATTTTAAAAAACTGGACAAAGGTTGTTCAATAGCTTAAGGTTGTATTCGACAGTACAACAGGTATTTAAACTTTTGATTTGTATAAACATGATCCAATTAAAAATGTTTGATATTTTCAGGACTGGCAACATGGTTTCCCCATACGAAGACAAGATTGGCGGCAATCCCATCGGGCTGCTACAGGAACTGTGCATGTCTCGGCGTTGGCCTCCTCCCACCTACCAGACGGAGCACGAGGAGGGACTGCCTCATGAGAGACAATTCACCATCGCTTGTGTCGTCTTCAAGTTTAAAGAGATTGGTTAGTCAGTATAAACATATTGAATTAAAAACTCGGACCTTTTCCGTTAATTCACTACCAATTTATAACTTGTATGCAGCATAAGTTACCTATTGAAGTTTTTTTAATTTGTCTTGGTTCTTACTGGGAAGTGTAAATTCTTCGATAAAAAAGATCAAAAACCCTTTTACAACTCAGTTACATTGTGCCTACAAGTCTCGAACAGGCTAAATATATTTTATTAGAATAGTTTTAAATTATACTGTGATAGTTTTTAATTATGTAAATGTTTATCTACAATTTACTATCAATTTTTTTAGGAACTGGCAAATCCAAAAAGTTGGCCAAACGTCAGGCAGCCAATAAAATGTGGAACAAGTTGAAGGATATCAATGTGGAATCCAACAATATCTCATTCAATCTTGAAGATGAAGAGGAGGTAACCTAAAATGATCTTTAGACATTGAATGTTCGTCATGAATCACACAGCTTAACAAATTCACAGAGATTTAAATGCCCTTGGACCTATATTCCTCTGAATCAAGAGAAAATAGTTTGACTTTGTTTTTACTATAACTTATTTATTATTCACACAAACAAATTTCACCAAGGCAGATAGATATTATTGCAATCCCAATCAAGCTCAATAACTCGTAGTTGACTTTGTGTCAATATAACATTATAATTAACTAGTGGCTTGTAGGGGCAATAGCCCCTATATTCTAGTAAATATTTGGTACAAATTATAAGCCTCATGGGTTACCCTACCTTGAATTATAATTTATCATTTTTGCATATTATGATATGTATAATAGTTATTACATACCTGCATAAGTAATGCATTTTGATGTCTACTCTGTTTAAAAGAAAAATTCCAAAGGACATGCGGTGTGTTTATAATATATACTTTCTAATCATAATACAACTATGGAACATTTTCCAATAATTGTCTTCATGACTATTAATTAAATATATATAGATTTCTTTAAATATAGACAAATCCACTTAGAAAAACACATAGAGATAATGTCATCATCCAAATTGTAAAATGCTATAACAAAATCTCTCTGAAACAACATTTGTCGTATAGTATCCATTTTGGTCTATTCCTTGGTCTTTATTTGGTTCTAGTACTATTAACATCATCTGGCCTCTTTGCAAATCAAAAAGCAACATAAGTTGACCATGGTTGAACACTGGTTTTTTCAAATAAATGCCAACTTTTGTGAAGGTTCGGCCTTGCGCCACAATTTCACCAAATCAAATTGCGCAATGTACCACAATGAATGCACCCTTCGTTCATTGGTTCTACGCTGTGTAATGCAATCTCATTTAAAAGTGGTAATCTATACACAGGAATAAATTCATGTTCATTCGATGCTCATTTATTCTTCTTCCATTAATATCGTGCCAAATCTGGCGCCTGTTCTCATTTTGAGGAACAATTCCTCTGCGTGGTGGTCTTCCGACATTATACATTATTACTGTGCAAAAGAACAATCCATTGTAAAGTATTCAGTTTAAAAGCATCAAATTGTTTGTTCAACAGATTTTATCTAATTTTCACTTTGTGTTGTTTACTACTTCACTAACAATTTTACAATAACAAAATAATGCACATTCAGGGGTGGTTATATTTTTTTAAATTTATATAATCACAGCTGTGTTTACACTAAATAAAAAGACATAACATTAGATTCCAATGCTATTTAACTGTGAATTATTTTAATCTGTAGCAACCTTTTGGTACATAATTAAGAAAAATGAATATTTTCCCCCAAAATTTCATGCCCAGGCCTTTAAAATGAGACCTCTCCCAGCTTTTTACGGCCTCCCGTTCCCTCACAATTTCATTGTAAAATTTTGGGCTTACGGAATTAGATATATAGATTGCTAATATTCTTATCTACTAATCAATTATTATTAACGGTGATTTGTAGACTACATATAGCCTAATTTGCTATATGATTTGTATTCTTCCGTTAACATTTATCTCACTTGAAAAGCTAAAACATTCCAGATGTCAACTATTGTAATTTTTTAATTTGTCTTTAGGGTTTTTTAAAGGTTAACAGTAGCCTATATCGGATGTGTGCATTGGTTTCACTACTTTTAAACGAACAGAATAAACCCTTTGCTCATAGGCAAAGGGTTTATTCTTTTTTATGTCAAGGACTACCGGTACTTTTTTCTTAGGGAATTCTATCAAAACGTTCTTGATCAGTGAAATCGACCTAATACCTTTATTTGATTGTGCAGATGAATTTTTTCAGTGATGAATAAAGAAGCTTTGAAAAAAAAAAAACAGAGTAGGAGGATAATGCATTCTGAAATAAAAACATGACTTAAGATGAAGAGGGCTTGACTACATTTTAGTTTGAAAATCATAATAAACTTCTATAGGCTGTAGGATGAAAATATTTTAAAATTATCATCATTAATTAAAGCCCCAGGAAACATTGGAAGTTTGAAGGTCCATGGGACAGAACCCTGTTTATGGTTTTAATTTTTTTTATTTAAGAGTAGGCTTATATTTTTTGTGGTATATTATGGTAAAAAACAAATTAAAATTTATTACTCCTTGTAAAACTTCTGACAGCAATAATTACCCATTATGATTGTTCAATCACGAAAATCTGACTCCAAAAATATCTAAATAACAATAAATATTACTAATCAAGTCAAAACATTTTAATTTTTGTCACAGCTTACACAACGCGTATCTCAGATTGGTCTTGAGTACGCTGATCTGAAAGAGGCCAAAATCTCAACTTTGACAACTGCTCATAGTCACAAGGTCTCCCAGTTTCACAAGAATCTCAAATCATCCTATGGTGAAAAGCTGAGTGAATTACAGGTTCGTACCACAGTTGTTCCATCATTTTGAACAACTGCTGAGCTGTTTCTTCATGTTTTCTAATGCCGTGGTAGAAGTTTCAACCACCTTTTTGGTCACTACTCTATAGTCACATTTTTTTATTTCGCTTTTTCAGTATATGAATCCAAGCAGGTTTGCTTATCTCATGCATTTGACCCAACATCGAAGATTTGTTTCAAGTACCTTCAAAGTTCCAATGTTTAGCATTAAATTAATGCTAGAGTTAGAATTTTGCTGTCATGTTAGGTTTATAACCTTAAGAGTTGGTTTTATCAAATTTAACAGTTTAACATAACATGAATATAATTCTAAACATTTCAAAACAATTATTTATTTTGATTGGCCATCTATTATTTCCAAACTCAATTTAAGTTAATACTGATTCTGCTAAAAACTGGAACAATAAACTGGAATGGATGGTTAAAATTTAGTTTGTAAAATTGAATAGAATTGAATGTTAGATTGATAGATTCAAACATTGTTGGGAATGTTTTATGTTTTCAATATATTTTGCTTTCAAATAAGATTGATTACAATGCCCTGTTACTCTTTTTACAGACTGTAGTGCTCAGGAACCAAGGGTTTAACTTTGTCCAGTTTCTACAGGAGATAGCTTCAGAACAGCAGTTTGAGGTCACTTATGTCGACATTGAGGAAAAGTCTGTTTCAGGTAAGATATTATTATTTTGTGGATTAGGTAAGACTTTATTTTAATATGTAAACTAGAATGAATCTGTTCCGCCTCTAACATCCAGCACTTGTCAACAAAATAGTAGTTGGTTCTCTCCAAGACTTGTGCGTCTTGTTTTTTATGTATCGTAGATAAACCAGGTAACCGATAGCCGAACTCAGTTAGTTAGCCATTCCATTCTGGGCAGTCTCAATATTAACAATGTATGTCTCTGGCGTAACTTAATAAAGTTTGTTTGTGCAGTTACAAAATGTGAGTTTAATTACAATGAACCTACTTTATAGTCAACCCTCAAGTATGCATAAATTTTAATGACAAAGTTTCTTACACAATTGTATTTTGTCTTAAGATATTATTCAATTGACTTAATTAAAACTAGTTGAAAGTAAATTGTAAATAATCAGTCAACCAATGTTTGTTTAGCTTTGATTACATAATTTGTATACAATGTGCTGTAGTTAATGATGATGATGTGCCCAGGTAAATACCAGTGCTTGGTACAGCTGTCTACTCTACCAGTGGCTGTTTGTCACGGCTCAGGGACAACTTCCAAGGAGGCACAGACCGCGGCCGCCCACAACGCTCTGGAATATCTCAAGATCATGACCAAGAAATGAAGAGACAACGGACGAGCAGACACGGTGGTGCCACTGAAATATCGTTTCTGCGACCTCGGAAAGTCAAACTTTGCCCACTTTCATAGATTTCTCGAGATTTCAGAAATAACATTTGTTTGTCTTGCACCAGTCTGATCGGTCACTTGGGCTTTAAACACGTCCTTTACCAAAGGACTTAAGAATTCTTTCCCCTGAAAATAATTTTTCCATTTGCTGTTATTAAGTGTACACACTGAGCTTTGCTTGTAGGTGTTTATCCCTACCACTTTGGTAGATTTTTTATGTAACGGGGAAAAATAAGTTTTCAGGGTAGGGCCACCTTGGACAGTCATTTTAACCTTTAACTCACTACTTATTATTTAGGCAGTAAATTGCTAAATTCACTTATTGTGAGAACATACCTACGAATAACGATATTTTATTTTGTAGCTAGTCATTTTGTGATATATTATCCGGTTATGATTGAATTTAAGCGTGCCGAATCTCGAATTCAATTTTGAGTCTTTAAAATGAGTATTCTTCACAAATTTTACTGGCAAGTAACTGTATTTTTAATCAATCCTAAAATATTGTATTTATTTTCAACCAATTACTGAAACACACCAAAATTCTCATAGTGTAGTTGTAGGTACTTATCTTTCATCCTAATCACCATGCCTAAATATAACTCATAGCACAAGGCAAATAAAGCAATAAATAATAAACTGCTTTGCTTAACTTGGATTTTGTATTTAATATCCTCAATTTGGCTACGTTTAACCTATCCTACTCAGATGTTACTGATATCGGTTAACACAATCAGCTTATTCAGCACATGGTTGATTAACAAAATTTTAAGAAGGTATGTCAAAAAACAACTAAAAATCTGTATTGCCTTTGAATTAAATTGTCATTGTCCGTGTTCTGCTTGTAGGTTAGTCTCAAGGCTTGTTCAGATTCCATTTGATTTACCGTTTAAACGAGGATTTGGGATGCGTAAGCTTAAAATAAGATTTGAGATTTGACTCTCAAAATTCGATGAATTTGAGATTCGGCTCTGATCTATCACTTGTATTATCCCTTTGTATATGGTGCCTCATTTCCCTTTAGGCCCTATTTATAATAAGTTTATTATCAACAATTGTTTTACTTAATGGCAGGTCTATTAACTTGGTTAAATTTTTCAAACATTTTGTATTTAATATTCAATTTTGACACTTCTTGTTTAGCTGTAGTAAAACTCATTTGGTAAATACACTAATATGTATCTAGTTTATGTTAAGTACCGAAATTCAGTTGTTACTGTATTTGTTTATAAGGATATGTTTTTTATGCTAACATAATAGATTTTCATTAGTCTACTTAGACAAAGTGTTTACACTTTTTCTTCCACCATGTTTTCATACTTAGTCATGGAAACTGGTAACATGATACTATTTCCTTTATTAGCACTTACAAAAGACATGTTTAATTTAAAAAAGAAAACTTTTTTTAAGTTCAGTTAAAATTTTGAAATCTACTTTGTGAGTTAACGAGGATTGAATTTTCTTTTCAAGATGGTCCAAAGTTTGCAAGCAATGCCGTCGAATTTCATCTACAAGCTATACTTTGCATAGAACTAGTGGAATTTTCCCTTTCTCTCAAATAGAGGGACACTACCAGAAAATTGCAAAAAAGGGAGAGAATGCAAACTTTTATTTAACCATACTTCTTTTTTTGTGTTTTTATATTTTTTGTAGTTTTCCTCTGGTGAGCATAGGTTTTAGGACCGAATATTTGGAAAATGGGCATTATTTTAATGCAAAGTATAGAGGTTGTAATCTTAACATAATATTTTAGATCTAGGTGTCTTAGTGTTGTAGAAGATTTATTTAAAATGTGACACAAAATAATTGTAACTTAGTTTATATTAATATGATCAAACACTATCATAGTTGTAACACAATACTCAGATTTAAAACCAATATACCAATATAACTGCTATTTCTTTTGTTAATGCCAGACAGAATTAGTTTGTGTTTATTTTTTAAGAAAATTTTAGGCCTACTATATGAAATATTATAATTCTAAAATGTACCGTGTTAGTTTTCCTTTTCATTCAATAAATAGGATTTATCATCTCAACATTTGTGTGTGTAATACTCAGATTCTTTTAGTCATATGGGCGTAATACGTTGAGAACACTAAGTGTGTTTGAATAAATAGTTCTCATCACAATATGCTTACTTATTTACCTTAAACGTTCTATCTCTCTCTATTCCTTATTGTAGATTATGCACGACTGAGCTATTAATATTACAAGATGTGATAATTTTTTTGCTAGACAACTTTGTTTAACCACTGACTTAAGACAAGTTTTTGTAAAGAGGTTGGTGGCATAAGTTATCTTATCTTTAATATTTTCCCCGTTCAAATGGGTCTAGGGCATGGGCATGAAACATGTGCCTTTATAGTAAAGCAAGGGGTGAGTGAGCTAGTATGAATGAACTGCACCATATATTGAAAGTGGTGGGACCAAAATGTGAACCTAATACATTGGCATTGGTTGTCCATCATACTACAAACAGGGCCGATGTCTCACCAATGTAAAAAAAGTTGAATAAAGAAGAAGAATGATCTTAGTCACTTTACCCTGGCAATTGAAATAAATTGTACAGGGTGGAAAAATGTCCCGGGACAGTTAAATATTTCAAAAATTAATTAAGGTAGAGCTTCAAAACTTGGTACACAGTTACTGGGTATTAAAATTATTTTAAGACATTATTCAGTGACAACCTACCTCCTCAGGGTGACGGCCCGCTAGAAAAAAAATAAAACCTTAAGAGTAAGCTAGGTTGATGTGGACATTTTTAAAAATTGGACAAATTTTTAAAAGGTCTACAGTAGAATACAACGCCACAAACTTGAACTGACACGGTCATTCGAGTAAAAAATGGCAGCTGTTAAAAAGATATCTTTGAATCTAATTAAGATCCTTAATTTGATGTGCATATCACCTATGCATACGTTTATGATTCTCCGACTTCTAGCGAGCGTGCCTCCCTGAGGAGTAGAAAATTTGAGGTACGAGCCTATTTACCCGAGTTGCGTACTACACTACTTTACCTACTGTACAAAGCTTCTAAGAGAGGTTATGTTTTCGTTTATAATATCTCATTGCCACTGACAGTGATGCAACGACTCATTGTATCAATCACTAACTGCACCAATCGTTAACAATTAAATTGGTAAGCAGCTGATTCTCTCTTAATCCTTGAACCTCATTGATACTTTCCTGTGTTGTTAACAACACTATGCTGTTCCTGTTATGTAAGTAAAACAATGCTGTCATGAGAAACCTTTAAATCCTTAGAACTGAACTGAAACTGCCACTTAAAAACGGCTTTAGGTAACTACTATTAACGCCCAGTAGCTATGTAACAAGTTTTATAGCTCTATCTTTATCACTTTTTGAAAATTTAACTGTCCCGGGACTTTTTTCTCACCATGTATACCTCAACACACAGTCAACAGAACTCCTATGTAATATAGGCTACAAATGATCTTCTTTGAATCTCTTTGAAATTTTTCATTTAAGAACTTCATAAAAACAAGCCAAGTAACACTTGGGAGTGGTAATCATTATTCAATATACATTTTAAATATCATGTTTTTTTTATGAAAAACTGTACAAATGTCCTACAACTAAGGAATACTTCATTTCTCACTGGTACATTCAAATTACTGTTACAATAACTACATCTAAATCAGTATGTACAACATATTTACAGTTCAAAGTTGATCACAGCAAAGCACTTCAAGTCACTAACTCAAACTCTGTCATTGTTACCCTATGTTTGGTAAAGTCAATACACTTCTTTCATCGTGTACTTCTCCACTGGAGCAATCTTGTTCTTTTTGTCAAACCACGGTCTACTGAGCATTTCTTGAATCTCTACAAGACTTTTGTCACTTGTGTTGGGAACAAAGAAGTATGTGAAAGGCACAGCAAAGGCGTTTGTCAAGGCGAAACTCCAGATGCCAAAGTGGATACCGAAGGTGGACTTGACTGCGTAGTATATCTGGATGGAGAGCAAGGCACAGGCAAAGCCTATGCTGTTGGTGAGAGATGTCCCAAGGGCTTTCACATTGGGCGCAAATAACTCTCCTACTACAGCAAACGCACTGTTGGAGAAACCTGGAAAGATTTATTTCAATATGCCAAAATTAGTTATTCATATTATGGGGACAGTTTATAAAATGTATCTCTCTTTTTCTAATGTCTGACAATTTAGAGGACAAAAATTTTCTTTTTACCTAGAGTAAAGGAATACCAATTCAATGTGTGATGTTTGCAATTAGATAAGTGATCAGGAGAAAACTATCTATTGAAATGTAAAAAAACAATAACAGAAAAAAACAATAAATTTAGGTAATACTTAGCCTATACATTCTTGCGGCAATTTTTTTTTCAAAGAAAAAATAAATACATTATAGTAAATCATTCTACACTTTTTAGTTATCTGTTTTTCGTCAAAGTTTTAACGATTACACAAGCCATAGGCCTAATGCTTCTTATTAAAATGTTGCATTTTTTAGGACACAATAATTACCTAGAGAATAGAAGCTGATGTAAGCCACCAAGCTCACCAGAGGGACTAAACTGAAGTTTTTCATGTCGTGTCCGAGACTGATGAGGTAAAAGTGAGTACCAAACACTACCTGCAACCAAACATTGGAACGTCAAAACCAGTTGGGATATCAGTCTTCCCTCAATAGGAATAAGAGTCCACCCTGCCACAAAAAATACAAACCCTTTACACAATAATTATGACATTTCATTGTCACATTACTTTCCTTCATTCTAACTCAAAACCTTCTTTGTTAAAAAGGCAGCCACTGTCATTGAAAGGGATATGACCTGATGATGTATAGTGTAATTTTTTGAGTTTTTTGTACCAATGACACAAAGTCAAGGAACACATTTCCATTCAACTGTGCTTGCCTTTTCAAACAATAATCTTTGAAACCAGGCCCTTGCTGGGACCTACAGTATATATGATTATTAACTTGAAAAGTATATTAATTTACATACCAGGGATAGACAACTGCCGAGGGCAGATATGAGAAGAGGTTTCTTGTAACCAAAGTGGCGAGTGACTGTTGGACCCATTAGTCCTACAATCAACATCAATCCTCCGAACACTAGTGTGCACAACTTTGTTGGGATATCCACCTGTGAAACATTGATTATGTAAATACGGTCAACAAAATAAATGTGCTATAGGTACCGGTACTACATTTTGAGTGATAAGTGATATCAAAACAAACAACTATTTGTAATCTATTATTAAAAGAATTTGTTAGATTTTTGTGAGCAGCAAATCGACTGCGGGTTTGGATGATATATCCCGTAAAAGCCCATTGTCCTTGAAATTGCCCATTGGCTTTTAAAATTTCAGTGTTTGTGCTGAATTCTGTTGTAAATCATCTGAACTTTTGCCAGTTTAAATCAAAACTGATGGTCATGATAAAATTTTGTTAACATCCACCAGAAATTGGGGTTATTGTTACAGTTGGTGATGTTTTAGTGAATTCATAATGTTACTATTTGTATAAAAAGTAAAGAAGACAATTATTTAAGTTAGATTTTGTTTTTTGATAGTGTTTTGTGTTTTCATAGTACATGTTTCATTATAGTTGGAAAAGCTAATTACAAAAGTCATGTTCAGGGTTTGCTTGAAAAAAAAAAATACAAGTCAGTGGTAAGTTAATGATTATTAAGTAAACAACAGATAATTTTCAACTTAACTCAGAGCAGTAGAAAATCGTAAATAATATAAAATATATCTCGGATTTTGAAGTCATAAAGTGATGCCGGCTGCTAGTTATGTAGAAACGCGACTAAGTATGTATTTTATTACCAAAATATGAATAAAGGATGAAAATACAACAGTTTGAGAGGCCTTGTTTAGCTTTGTTACTGGGTAAGACCAGCTGTTTCTGTACCATCAGTTTTCAAACTATCAACAAACTGCTGACAACCTGTCAACTTTCAATTACTATCCAATTATTCAGGCTCTCTATAACCACTGAGCCACCTATTTCTGCCTACTTTGATGTTTGATGACTTTGAGACTTTAGAAGTTATTTAGAGCTACTTCTAAACAACATATAGATTTCCCAAATCATAAAAACAATTACGACAGTAAATTAGTTTATTTGTTTTTTATCAAATGGCTTACCTCAGCTAGATCAAATAATGATTCAGTGATTGACATGATCACAGGGACGCCAGACATCTGAAGGAAGAACAACAGTCCGCAGCTGATATACAAGGCTCGGATACTCGCTCTGTTTGAGAACAGGTCTCGAAAACCTCTCTTGCTCATCTTCATCTCTTCTACAGCTTTCTGTAAACATACATTTTCAATAGATTCAAACAAAAGAAATTGCTATTTTTATGATTATGGGTGTTTTTTAGTAGCTATTTTTATGATTATGGATGTTTTTTAGAAGGGTTATTAAATCTGTTAAATCTACTTTTCACCATACACTTTGTAGCAATGTACATTTTGTTCCTCACCTTACTTATTTTGTTATTTTTGTATTTTTGAACTTTGTCAGACATTTTCTAAAGTTTTTTTAAGAAGTAATTAAGGGTTGTATGTTTTACTGTCTTTTTGTGTGCTTCACAATTATACAATGTTATCCTACTAGACAGTAAGATAATGTCCTGTTTTTTTTTAGAGAGTCCAAAAATGATATACAGTACAATGATTACAGCAACTCATGAGTTAATATACAATGATTTACTTACCTTACACTTACTTTGCACTCATCCAATGCAAATAACAAAACAAATCTTTTATTCAAAAAGCAAAATAATTTGGTCACTATATACTAATAATTTGTTTAAAGATTAAAATTATAGTTCAACCTTATAATAGTAACATAATAACAGGCCTGTACAAAATAGTTTACATTCTGTTTCTTGGGATTTACAACTGTAACTTAGATTGGTATTGGTTACGTTGTGAAAACATTCCTCTATTCATTTTATCCATCCACGAGTTCTTGTACTAAGCTGTTCATGTTTTTTTGAGGAAGATTAGTTATACTTTTATATTCAGGGTTTGATTGGATGCTGAACATATTGGTACAGAGTTTTGGGATGTCTTTTTCTATAGAAAAATATTTCTGTGAATCAGCAAACAGAATTCCTTTTCTAAAAAAGTCAATAAAACATTAAAGAGAAAAATATAGGAAAAAAGAGATAAGGTCTCATCATAGGAGTAACTAGGATGACCCTAAGAGGGGGTTACACCGGGCGTCTGGGTGGTATCCCTCAGAAAATTATTGAAAATTAGACCTGCAAACTCGTGTTTTTTAGCTATTTAGAGACATAAAAGTGATTTTTTAACTGTAAAAAAATGTTTATCGTAAAAATCACATTTTAAGGTCAAGGGGAGTTTAAGGGGGGGGGGGTTTAAACCCCTAAAACCCCCATGGATACGCCAATGGATTTCATACCTCCCAGTAGTTGTGGTTCCCTAACCATTTTCTAAAGTGTGATGAAATCATGATAAAAAAGGAATTAAATGTTAAAAACTTGTTGAAATCAAGCATTTCTTTACACAGTCAACATCAACTCAACACTAACCTGTATCAAATTAACTTCTGCTTGAACCGTCTCCTTAGACGCCCCTCGTCTGAGCCACTGGATGGTCTGAGTGGCTCTGTCTACCTTTCCTCTGGCCAGCAGCAGGTACGGCGACTCTGGTAAGAGGAAGAATATTAAGAGTGCAACGAGCGGAGCAGCAACACTGACTATGGCCAGCCCCACGTAGCTTACTTGCGGCCCTACTGCATACATGGTGAAGTAGCCTAGGGACCGAGATGCCAGCGGTAGAGAGGCTAGGGTCCCTCGTATGTGGGGCTGAAAACATGAAAAATTGTTACAGCTCATAAAATAAAGTAATTAATTAATTTTAAAATGTTCTAAAAATGTGCATGCAAATGTGATGTGGAATAACATGTATGGGAATGGGATTCAAACAGCTTATGACATTGTATGGATTGTCAAATCTAAAGGTTGCTGGTTCAATTCCAAGCGGGTTTATTCAGAACCCAGGTGCCATTCATCATCGCGCTATGAGAATAAAAGACGATTATCAAAAGGAGCAAAACACGTGGGTTAGAAAAACCACAAAATCATTTTACATATAAAGTATATATATTACTTTGGCTATCCTCAAAGTTCACTTAAAAAAAATACCGTCAGTACGTTAGTGACTTTAAGTCAAAACTTGAATGTCAGACGTTTTACCATAGTCCAGTCTGCTGTACTAAGGCTGTATGTGAGATCACACGGAAGTGATAATTAAATTTGTATTTATGACTTCTTTAGTTGCCTCTATTTTAATGGAATTGTGTTGCTGCCATACCTGAACTTAAAACCCTTTTTGCAAAGCATAGGACTATTCTAATTTTATTTCATACAAACCTTTTATAATTATAACATTTGTTTGGTCAAGAACAAGGAATCTTTTACGCAAATATTACCAATGCTGATATTATATCATGACTGTAAGAATAAAGTTCAAGTTCATGACTGGAGGTCAATGCTGATCTCTAACAACATGATTATAGTAAATGTGCATTATCGACTACTTATCTTATTGCCTTGTTTGTACTTGAAATTATTATGCTGCTATAAAAGATGACTTGAAGGTCATACAGAAAACAAAGGAGATGAGAGGCTTAGAAAATAAACATACAGATAAACCTACCACAAAGAGGTTTATTCTTTGTATTTATTTTCTAAAGCTCGTCCATCCATGCAGTTCATCTGTGTTTATCATTTATCTTTTCATTAATAGCCCAGTCAACAAAGCTCAAAATATGTCCCTCAGGGGGAAAAAATGGTTAGTCCCGGATTTTTGCGCAGTTGTAGGGGATACCCTCCTACTGAACAACATACTAAAAGTCCTGACTGATGGGGTGTGAGCTATGGGGAGGAGGGGGGTGTAAATGCACAATTTTTCGGTTTTCTGTAAATATCTCGAAAACGGTGCCCTCCAGCAGTAAAATGTACGTATACAAAAATGAAGAGGATTAAATTTCCAACCATAATGTCCATTACATCGTGTTCCTAAAATCAACACTTAACGAGATACATTGGTCATAAGAAAAAAAAAACATTCAGAGAAACTACTATTATTTTGGTAAAGTGATTGTTTCATACTACATCAAGTTGTATAAACTGATAAAAATGTGCTAAATACTCGTCTATGCAGTACAGCTGTTGAAAAAATTGAGGAGAGGAAGTCGGGCCGGACTGGAAGCTGAGAGACCAAACAGTGGTAACCATATACTATACACTATTATTAAATCAATGAGATTATAAGTTCGTTAATTTAACAAAAAAATAAACAATAATTCAACGGCATTTTGATGGTTGTTTGTGAAATCTAAGTTGTTTACTAAAAAATGTAAACATTAACCTATCAGCTGTTCATATATTATTATTATTATACAGTACAAGAGGGATCCCAAAAGACAGGTGTATTAACATTTTATGCAAGTTTATTTTAGTTTTAATATTACAGTATGTTATTATGGTTACCACTGTTTGGTCTCTCAGCTTCCAGTCCGGGCCGACTTCCTCTCCCCTCAATTTTTTTAACAGCTGTACTGCATAGACGAGTATTTAGCACATTTTTATCAGTTTATATAACTTGATGTAGTATAAAACAATCACTTTACCACAATAATACTAGTTACTCTGAATATTTTTTTTTTCTAAGTGTTGATTTTAGGAACACGATGTTATGGACATTATGGTTGCAAATTTAATGCTCATCATTTTTGTATAAGTACACTTTACCGCTGGAGGGCACCGTTTTCGAGATATTTACAGAAAACCGAAAAATTGTGCATTTACACCCCTCTCCCCCCCATAGCTCACCTCACACCCAATCAGTCAGGACTTTTAGTATGTTGTTCAGGAGGGTATCCCCTACAACTGTGCAAAAATCCGGAACTACACCATTTTTTCCCACTCATTCAGCTTCGTTGACTGGACTATAAGACGGTGGCGTGTGTCTTGTAAGTCAATTATAGATAAAGGGACAAGATGTGTTGGGCAGCTTTGTTACCGACTAATACTAGAAATTTTTTTAGTCAGGATCGTTTATTGAAAGCCCAATGATCATTGACAGTTGGGTGTATTGGGTTTTGCAACTTAATATTACAGGCTTAATATTGACTTACTGAAAATCTATTATGACAATTCCAATCATCTTATACCTATTCAAATGTCCCTGACCATTGGGCTTAAAATAAAATGATCCTGGCTAACAAAATAGCTGATCCTAGTCAGTAACAAATAAGCTACACGGATCCTCACACTTCGTTCTACATTCATCCTTCACTCATATTTGGTTTAAATAGCACATAGGTTGGGCCACCATCTTAATTGGTAATATTTCGTAATGCTGTTAATTGTATTTGTGAAATAAAGGCATTAATTAGATATTGTGTTATAAAACTAATAAGGAAATACTATATTTCACTACTATTTCCTATTTCACTTATTTAACTAGGAAGGAAATACTATATTTCATTTCATATATTATAAATAAAGTTTTTCTGATCTGAGAGACCTGTCTTATGTTGTTTTTATAGACCTGCACTAATAAGTCTCATAATTATTTCTCTTGTTAAATTTGCTGTTTAACCTCATTCACTTTAATCACATATAACTTTCCAAAGATAATGCTAGGCATTTAAAACTAATCAAAGTTTAAGCTTCTGTTTGCCTAGAAATACAAATCTTATGTTTAAAAAAATGTAACGATATACCTTAGTCTAGTGGTATGTCTAGTCTTACACAGTTAGAACAAGGAAACTAATTGCTGTAGTTACAACAATTAAGCCATGCAGACGGCCCATTTGTTAATTATAAAGTAGTTAGATAAGAGAACAGTGTGAGACTTTTGTAATGGGATGAAAAACAAGTTTTAGTTGTTATAATTAACTCACCATTTCAAGCTATCAAACAACATTTGCATTATCGTTATACAGAAATTAATGTCTTTAAGAATGATTGATCCATTTTCATAAATGACATGTGTAAAACACTATTTACCCAAACATATTCTTTTCCAAACAATTTGTATTGGACAGTCAGTATCATCTTTGAACTCTCTTTATGGAATAGAGTTGTCTGTTTATTTATTATCTGTGTATCAGTGGAGTGTGAATGTCTTGCTCAACTGAAGCAAAAACAACTTAAAACTGATTAGTCTGAAAATCTAAACAAATTATATTACAAACCTTGGCAAAATATAGATCTTTAGGTCCTTTGAATCTCCTTGAATGTCACCCTGAGGATTTTCAAGTTTTCAAGGAGCTGCTTTTGGAATTTTAATACTAGTTGGTTAATAGCAACATAAAGAAAATCCACAATACTTATTCATTTTAATTTGCCACACAAATCAACTGGGAATAGAGAATTTTATAAAAATAATAAAATTGTACACTTAAGTTTGGTTAAATCAATTATGGGTGTCACATACTTATTTCCTACACTATCTACGATGTGTTATTTATTCCTTTCCCTTATGCATCCTCAAGCCACTGCAAAGAGTAAGATAACAAGTTTCTTAAATTAATGATTAATTTCCAAACATGCAATAATTTTATACTCACATCTGATAGTTCAGCAATATAAACAGGCAAAGCAGACACGCTCATGCCAAAGGAGAAGCCTCCAATCACTCTGGCACAGTAGAGAACCTGAAATGTCGAAAGAGATTTTCTTTATAATCATCCAAAACAATGTTATATGTCATACTTTTTCTGACTTGATGTGATAGCGTTTAACTTACTCACACATATGGTAATATTATAGTTGTAGGAAACAAAATATTGAAAGTGTGTGATGATGGCAGAAAATATATTGTAATTTTGCTTGAAGAGTTTACAGTATTATCAGTATTTAGGGAACTAGTTTGTTGTATATTAAATATATTTTTGAAATACCCTCAAAACTGGCTTTAGGCCCGCCGCACATTGGAGCGAGGCGAGGTGCAGGCTAGGTGCAGGCGAGGCGCAGCTGATTCTGTAATAAACATATTTAAATGGAGCACCGCACATTGAGCAGAGGCTGCGCGCAGCCTCCGGGCAGCACAGCTGCAGCCTCTGTCAGGCCTCTGCGGCGTTGTAGTTGGAATACAGTTTTCCTGCACCTCGCTCTCGCCTGCGTTGGTTTTCTAGTGTTTTGTGAGTGAAAGATATAGTAATGTAGCATTTAATTCAGATGGCTATATGTTGCTGAGCATTGCATTCCTTTTCATTGATGTCACTTTCAATCAACTTAATGGATATCGTCAAACTGTTGTTTGTTCACACGTAAATATTCTCTAAAATACCGGTCTGGTAGTTCAGTAGTTAAAAAATACTCTCCATGGCTTAATCTTTTTTTCGTGTACGGTAATCACATTTTCAAAACAGCTTTTACATTTTTTGGATAGCGAATAGAGCAAAAAAATTTTATACCCACAATCAGAATCAACAAAGGTCCAAAAAATCGTCCTCCTACTCGCAACGGAAGGACCAAAGCTAGGAAACCTCTGTCCCGCCTCGCTTCAATGTGCGATGACACGAAAAAGTCTTCGCTCCCGCCAGCACCTCGCCTCGCTCCAATGTGCGGCGGGCCTTAAGATATGATTCAATACAATACAAAGTTCTTCTAAATTTCTATACACCTATTCAATAAATAGATTGTTCAAGGCCAACTTTATCTATAAGAATCATATAACCATTCACTAAAAACTTTATAAAATCGGTTGAGGGTTGATGTCTTTGCTCTCACCTGAGCGCTAGAGGCCACAGCCAGCAGAGCACAGCTGATGAGTAGGAACAGTATGATGAGGAAGGTGGTAGGCTTGCGACCCAGGGAGTCTAGAAGACATCCGCTGATGAGAGGTCCGAGGACTTGACCAATGGCAAAGCATGACACAAGCCAAGCCTCGTCAAGCCCCGCAGCGGCTCCCGAGAGGCGACTCCCTGCTTCTCGCAGGCGGGGAATAGCGGGGGAAGTCCACACATTGCTCTCGCCCACACCGAAGTACACGATGTTGACTGAGGACAGATTGGTTGAGTGTTTTGAACAATTTCAAGAACTACTAGGTGTTCCACAAAAGATTAGTAGAATTTCATACATTAGCCACTGTAACGTTTTAACGTACAATATTCTACCTGTGTTTGTTGAATCGGCCATTAGTTTTACTCATAACTGGAGCAGAGATTTTTCATCTAACACTCATTATAACATATTCCACATCATAAAAGATACAACCAGTCAACTATGTATAGCAAAATTAAGTGTCTTATGGATCATAAAATTATGTAACACGAGCTGTTGGCCCGTCCTACGTACGGGAATCGAGTAGTCAATTAAAACGGAATAGTTCAGAACATCTAGTTTACACGCACAGTGACAAATTCTGGCAGTTGTAATGGGGGCCAACTGCCCACAAAACAACCTAATTAACAATTAATTGTTATTTTTTAGTTGTTGACCTTATTAATAAATGTCACGTGACTACCTATTTCTTCCATCCGATTATAGACCTAAAATATAGCGATATGCATTTTAAATTTGATAATTTTACCATAAAATAGCAGTTGCGTCGATTTGAAAAGACTTGAAGTGAGATTGGAGACCGATTCACACACACAGGTATTGAGTAGAGTTGCTACAATTGCATATACCACTTATATATGCACTTACTTACCACACCTTTACCTCCCACATAGCACCGAATATTTATTTGATATCAAATAGCTATCAAATTTTTGACATTTGAATATCAAATTGATATTCACGAACATTCGTTTGATATCAAATAAACGTTCAATTTAGGTTCAAACGTCACTCAATTTTACATCAAATAAATATTCAAATTGAATATAAAATAAATATCAAATTTGACATTCATAAATTTATTGGTAAAATATAATAAAGAGAATATGATTGAATTTACATTCACATTTTAAATATGATGGTGATAAATATTGATATAACATTTTTGACATTCGAATATTAAATTAATATTCGCGAACATTCATTTGATATCAAATAAATGGTCAATTTAGGTTCAACCTCACTTAATTTGACATTAAATAAATATTAAATTGAATATCAAATAAATGTCTCATACATTTATTGGTAAAATATGTTTAGAAGAATTAGGTTGCATTTTTTCACATTTCAAATTTCATGGCGATTAAAAAAAATATCAGTTCAGACTTCTTTACTGTTCTTACCTTGATTTGACTTATTATTCTGAAGTTATAGGTAGTTTGTTAAAGTTCTTGGGTGACCCAAAAATGTAAATATATATATATATATTTCTTATTTGACAAAACATTAACAAAAGTATCACAAAACATATTTGTTTAAAACAAAATTGTATTCAAGGAAAACATTTTAAAGAAAAAAGTTTGTTTGTATGATAAAATAAGTTTAATTAAAAATTATTTAAACACAAATATAAAAAAGATATGTACAATTAAAAAAAAAATAATTCTGGTCTTCTTCATCTCCCAAATGGCCTTCTTGAGTTTTCTATTGTTCCTGTAAAAGAGGTTCAACAGAGTTATTTTCTAAGACAGCTATAGATAAAATATAATATGTTAGACAAGGGGTCTCCAAACCTTTTTCCTCGGTGAGCACTTTTTTGTCTAAAAACGCCACCGATTTAGCGACTAAAGTTAATTGTTCGCTACTCTATCGAATCACAACATCATCTACTATCGATGCGATTGTAGTTGTCGTTTGTCACAAGGTAAAGGCTTTTTGTGATACGGACGAAATGAGAGCATTCTATTATAAAATTAAAATGTCGTAACCTAACCAAATTAACCAAACTTGCTGATTGTGAAAAAATTGAATTAAGGTTTACTACCGACAAAATGAGAGCATTCTATTATAAAATTAAACTGTCATAAGCTAACCTAACTTGCTGATAATATAAAAAATATACAAGATAAAAATTGAATGAAGATTAGATTTAACAAGGTTAGGTTTGCAGCCATGGAGAATGTAAAAAGTTTTTTTGAGCATACGTCAATAGTATAGGATAAAGTAAATAAGTTTGCCAAATTTTATCAAAATCTATCCAAACAAATAAACTACATAGTTTCCTTTTTTAATACATAGAGGATACGCGTCCGGTAACCGGACGTGGATAAGGCGTACGGCAATGACGTCATGGGGTTGCGGGAGCCTGGAACGCCTTTACCACAACAATACAATGACCAGCCATCGGTGTTCGTGGTGTAGTGGATAAGGTGCTCGGCTGATATGCAAGAGGTCCAGGGTTCGAATCCCATTGATGACTTTAACTTTTTGTCGAAGAGTTTGCATTGAATACCATTTATTCTTAACTGTACATCTTTTATTAGAATTTTTGGCATTTATAATTTTTTTTATAGAGAAAGAATTTCACCTTAATTCGATTTTTTCACTATCAGCAAGTTTGGTTGGTTAGGTTAGGTTATGACAGTAATTGCCGGACGTCTAATCCACGTCCGGTTACCGGACGCGTATCCTCTGCCTTTTTAATAATCTAAAATATAGTTCTGTTCATAAAATAAAATTATAAATGCCTCTAATTCTAACGAAAGATGTGCAATTAAGAAGTAATCACATTCTAAGCTAAATCTTTGACAAAAAGTTCAATGATTTTTTAGTGAGAATAGGCTATAAAATTTGACACTTAAAATGTCAGCTAGTTTAAGATTTCAATTTGTAGTTCTGCCAATTAGAATCAATTAAAAATATATATATTTAAATTAATCTGCCGCTACTTTACTACTACTAATATTCCCCTAGGCCTATTGAGAAAAAATTAGCAAGTGAGAGACATTTACTATGTTCCTATTTAAATACGTTAACCTGCCAACTTGGAGACAGGGTATTGTACACAAATTTTGTTGAATGGGGAAGAGACAGTTAATTGCTCTTAATTATGGTATGAGCCGCGAGGTAAATAAATATCCCATGGCTGAGCCTGCATTCATTGACAAAGTTCTCTTTTTACACCTCAAGGAAATCACGTTCAACAATGAAGGGTGTTGCTAGGATTGCAAAAGACAATCACGGCACCGTCGAGACTGCAGTATAATATGCTCGTGAGTCTTGGCGAGATCACGGGAGATGATCACGATATAGCTGAGACCACCTGACCACACGTGTTTACGCAATCGTGGGAGAATATAATTGGTGTTTGCTATAAAAAATAATAATTTTCAAAAACGTATGCTGGCTTTCTGCTGGCTGGAATAAAACTGCACGAGGGCCGGATGTAGCCCACAGGCTGTAGGTTGGAGACCCCTTCGTTAGGCATTTTTAAGACCTATTTTTTTACTATACCTGTACTTTATAATTAAATTTCTCGATAAGGCATTGAGTTCTTGACAATAAAGAAAAAAGAGATGGATAAAACCGCAGATTAAGTTTTGCTCATTTGCATAGCCTGTCACTGAAAATTCACAATTTGAAAAGAAAACATCACAGTAGTTAGATGTCGGCCTAATCTGTTAATTATAATAAAATTTAAGTTCTATATTAGGTAATTAGATAAGCAATCTTTTCTTTAACCTAAATTATAAATAACACAATAAATTTACCTTGCATCAATCCTAAACTTTGCTGGGCGAAGCCAATTCTTGATTATAGTAGCAACAACATATATTTCCATTACACCACGATCCTAGTGTTCTTGCGTACCGGTACTGCGTCTGTATAATAAGAGATTAGTATTAGCACTAGAATTTGTATATATTTTAATTTTCCTGATCAACACCCAGGATAGCCTACAACTAGGTACACATATTAAATTGTTACAGTACCTAGTGAAATCTATTTTATATTTTGATGGCATTTGCTTCTTTTGAGTAGCCTTGTTAAAGCTAAATCTAAATCTGAAAATTGAAAATTTTGACCTAGGTAGTGGTAAAAGTAATCCTCAGTCACTTGAACGGACAAATATTGGGGTGAGCACTGACTGAAATGAGTGCAACGGTCGGATGTAGTTTGGTGTGTGTATAGGCCTATGTGTGCATTTAAAAAAATTCAACTAATACAGTTTTCTTTTACACAAGTTAGCACTGCCGGAATATTTATATAGTGTAAATCAAAGACTTCCTATATAAGTGGGTCACAAAAAAGAGAAACTCTCTTAACTGTGTGAAGAACCTTAGGCTACGTTATTACCCATTAGGTACCTATCATGAATTAGGTTGTGTTTTGGTGGTAGAGCCTAACTTATCTACAGTTCCTAAGAGAACCTGCGATATATTATCGGACGGTATATATATCTGATTTGATATTAATATTGCAAAACCAATTCACCTAATCTGCAAATCATAACTCAATTTGATGTTTACATAGTGAAAAAACATAGGGAACGATGTATTGAATCGGATAATTATTGATATATAATGTTATTCATCCGATAATATATCGCAGGTTCTCTGCGGAACTGTACCCGTTATGGCAAAAAAGACATACACAGTCATGACGAATCAAACAGAAAAATTGAAATAAAAACACCTAAGATTGAAACTTTATTTTAACTTTGAGAAAACCTAATTGAAATATATGTATGTCTACCTATTATTAATGTCTGATTGTAAATAAAAAAAAAAACTTACACAAGATAGCTGGCTTCAGATGCAGATTGCAAAAGAAAAATTTATTCCTCCTTCCCAGCCTACAGGCTGCTAGACAGCCACTTTGTCACTCGGGAGAATTGGTACCGTAGGCAAATTATTCACTGCTACCAAATAATAACTTCCACCAAAGCTGCAGAGTTATCAACTGAAACAATGGAGAGAAAACTACTTTGAGTTAAATTCATGCATACCTTTCTCTGGCCTAAATATGGATCAAGATTAGTTAGGCCTAATCATTGGTTGGTAAAGGAAGCAGACAACAACTAAAATACAAAAGACTAAGGACAATACAGGGGTAGACTTTCGTATCTGTTGTCAAAAACAACCGAATGAAAATATCGATCGTTATAGCCTATGTTCATTCGGTTGTTTTTGACAACAGATACGGAAGTATACCCAAATTCAGTTTAAAAGGAAAATGGATTTCAAATAGGCTAGGCTATTTCTTTTATAATACCGGTAAATTGTAACCTGGTTGAGGTAGAATATGTTAGGCCTAGGCTAGCCTAAATTAAGTTAACTTATTCTTGATGATGAATTTACATAAACTTAAGTTAGTGACTGACGTAAAATATAACCCACATAACTTAGTAATATTTCAAAATTAGCCTAACAAGGTATTACAACACAGTATGGTATTCCATTTGCCTTGTAAACCAGTAAGTTAGTCCTACTTACTAGCCTATATATTGAACACTATTTTCATCCGGAAGTTGCCCTTTGAAGCTAAATAAACTACTGGTTCAGTAAGAACTAAGCAAGCCGCCTAACTTAGTAGCTTACGCCTAGGCCTAATTAGTATGCAGAAAAATACTTCCTCTAAAACAGATTGCCTATTTTGAGGTTTCAGATTTATCTATTTATACTTAAGTTAAGGCATTAGGAATGATAAGTTGGCCAATTTAATTTGTACAGTAGCTTAACTTAGGTCTAGGTAAGGGGCCAAGGCCTAAAATACGTCTAGGCCTATGTTACTAGGTATAGTGACTTATACTTACATACTCCAAGGATCAAAACGTGAAAAGATGTTCGGTGTAGGTTATGCCAATACCCAGTCACAAAAATAACAACTCTAAACTAACAGTGACACACACTAAACAAAATATCAGCACACTTAAGTTAACTGATTTGAGGTTATGTCTTGTTCTTGAATCTTGATACTCTTGTTGCTTCCATAGTTTATTTTCACTACTTACTACTTACTTGTGTAGCCTACTCAACAAGTTAGTTGTCATAGGTACATTTTACATAAATCGTGTACTTTCCCTCAAAATGGGCAATTTGTTGGTTAATAAATAAATAAATCCACACCGTGAGTAAACTGGCCACCACTGGTCGCGCGACGGATTTTGTAATTTGTTTTGTATTGTAATGTTCTGTTTTGTTTGCTGAGTTAGGTTAGAATTAAGTTGGTCTTTTGTCTTCAGTCTTCCTCTCTTCCTTTCATACGAATGGGCCAAGTCAAGCTCAAACTAGATACTTAACATATTTTTAGAGTTATATTACACTTAAAAAAATTTAAATTTACGTTTGGTTTAATTTACTAGTAAAAATAAAATGATAACTCCAATCGTTAAGAGTTTGACTTTTTTATTAATAAACAAAACTTTTAAAAAAGCTGTGTTTCCTATTCACTCTTCTTGAAATGTGTAGTAAGCCTAGATTCAGAAAAATATCAGATGTTCCAACAACTCCCCCCCCCCCCGCGAAAAGTCAAAATCCATCATCAATTAATTAAAAATTACAGTGTTCAGTGTTCCTTCCTATTATTAATTATTTTGAGATAATTGACCTCCGACCTCCATGCTGGGGACTAATTCTTTACTCTAAAAAATTTAAAAAGTTAAATCTAAAATTTTTTTAAACTAGTATATTTGGAAATTTTCAAAGAGAAAATCAAATTTTTAACATTAAGAATATTTAGATAATATTCTAAATTTGATGTTATTTGACTTTGATATTTTGAAGATACAATAAATATTCAAAGTTTGACATTGTTTGACTTTGACATTTTGAACATTAAATGAATATCAAATAAATATCAAATTTTTGATTTGACATAGTTTGATATATTGAACGTTTATTTGATATCAAATAAATATTCTGTGCTATGTGGGCTCCGTGACCACAGACTGACTGGGTGGCCAGAATCCTCATGAAATGAGGATTCTGGCCACCCATTCTTTTCCATCCCCTGCCTCTTCTAATTTAGATCCCGGTCTGAGGATGTATTTCATAGCTTGTTCTTTCCACTTAATTCTTGGTCTTCCAAAGTGGTCTTTTATCTTGTGGTACTATGGAATATACTTTTAAAAGTTGATTTATCTTCTATCCACCACGCATAGCCTGCCCATCCAAGCCTTTTACTTCTGGAAAGCACCCCCTATATCTGGGTGTTTACACATTTCTCTTAGCTCTCTGTTTGTTTTTATCTCGACCTCTGTTATCTTGAACTGGTCTGTATATTTTGTCTGCACTTTTCAATACTACGGGGAGAGTTATGGTATGGTATGAGTCGACTTTGGTTTCTACTGCACCTTGCAGCTCATTGGACAGTTTTATAGAGACCTAGGCCCTACTACACCAATTAACGCTTTCATTACTAACCAAAATTATAGTATGACTCACATACATTCGGACATACAGAAAAAGAAGAATCAACACGTAACCCTCTTATATCTTAAACGATTAAGCAATAAATTTCTGAAAAAAAGATTTCCCAAATATGAGATGCAATTTCCATGGCAGAAACTAAATAACTAACTTACAGAGTTTGCATTTACGACAAAACTTAATTAAACTGTTTGAGATGTGTAGATCAAAATAACACATTTCCTGATAAAGCAGATCCTTCACGGTAGAAAAAAAAAACTAAATTTTAAAGTGAAATAGTATGCAGGCCAACACCGAAGAACAATATTTTTGTATAGAAACAACTTGTAACATAAACATTTCAATGACAGTTTATAACCAGCTGTTAGTATATCCAGCACTGAAAATATTTTGAATTGCTAGCGTCGGCTGCTAGACTTTTTAAAAATTGAAACTTAATTTCTAAAAACTAAAACCTTAAATTAAAATTATGGCTTCGACATTCCCTAGTTCTCAAGATTATCTTTCTTTCAACACAAAAATCATGAAAATCGGTCAAGTGGTTGATTCAGAATCGTGAAATAAAAAACCCTGTTTCGTTTTAATATTATAGATTTGTTTATAAATCCTAAGTACTGTACCCTGTTTTTAGTCATTTTTGGAACAGTAAACCACTTTTAAAGTGCACCAAGATATAAAAGGAAATTTAAGTAACAATGGAAAACAGTAGGATTATCAGTAGGACAATATTTCAAATAGAATAGTTTTTTTGTAAAACATGTTACACAAATTTCCTAGCAAAAATGAGCTGATTAATTAATTTTGAACTCATCTAGCCCATGAAGCCTAATGGTAAATTCGATCATGAAATCATATGTGTAAAAAAAGTGTTACAATATTGTGGGAAACACGTGAGGAAAAAACCAATAGAATTCCAAGATCCCCTGAAACTGGTTGCAGGACTCGTAATTGACCAACCAGTTTGTGGTCAAGACCAAGGTCACAGGAGGATCCCTGACCCTAACTTTGAAACTAGGCTTATATAATGTTAATTGGCTGTGCAATCAAGGTCATAGTTTATTCATATTTTAATTACACAATTACTTATTCTTGGTGCAGTTAAATGAATGAGTTTATTTATTTGAAATACCTATAATACGATATTTATAAATAATTTCTGAATTTTATAATTCAAATTACCAGGTACTAAATTAAAAATATACTGTGGGAAAATCTTAGAGTAAGCTGCACCAATTATCAATTATTTTATACAGGGACGCCACCTATGTGCTTTACTAAACCCAAAATATAAGTGAAGGATGAGTGTAGAATGGTGTGAGATGATATGTGTTGCAAGGGAGTATGTTTTATCTATGGTGTTGCTTTGTGATTGACTAAGATCAGCTGTTTCGCTGTTTCATCAGTCAGGATCATTTAATTTATTTAGCCCAATCAGCAGAAGCAGCTGGGGTTGTTTATTAATCTAATCACAGACCAAGTTAAATGTCATTGCTTAATTTGCTCTCAACGAGTGGAAAGATGGGAACCAAATGAATAACAAATTATTTTAAAAGAGTCCAATCTCACGTAATAGACTTAATGAAAATCATTAAAAAATATATTTTTAGACCTTCCATAATTTATTAGAACATAAATATGATACCTATTCTAAAGCTGGTTTTGTATAAAATATTTTAGTGTATTTTAATTTTTCCATAAAAGGGAAAATGAGAGAAAGTACAATTTTTAATAGCCTACTGCGGAATGTAAAATTGTAAATGGAGAATCTCGATTTTGTATGTGATCTAATATTCGAATATTTATATAATCATAACTCTTGCTGCAGAGTGCACAGTACGCGCCCAGAATAAAATTCAAACAGAAATTAGAAACATTTAAATGTAGAAACTATACAAAGAACAAAGATACCTCAATGTATATACTCACTTATTAAGGCGCTCAAGTAAAGATTTCTATAACTGATAGACTGTTCAGCTGCCATCCTTTATAATGTGTCACCTCCTAAAAAATGCATTGCGTAAGATTAATGACGATAAGTAAACCATCGAGTTGATGTTCTTTTACATAATAATTGGCTTGTTTCCAGATTTCTAGAATGCAAGTGACATAGTACCTTAGCTAGGATGTTCAAAAGCAAGTTTTTGTCAGCAAAATTAATTGCACTGAACTTCAAAATGTCACCAAGGAAAATTCCTTTCAGTTTTCCCTGGGAATCTAAGTATTACAATTAATTAATTTTTGCTTCAGTGTGATTACACAACCAAAGCGCCAATTAATGATGCATAGACGTCCAATGCACCAAAATACTTCAAACTACTTTTATTCCATGCAGTATGCAAATATACTATAGTTATACGTTCTACCTTTTACAATTTACAGTTTAGTTTTTACAAACAGATTTTTACAATTGACAGTTTAGTTTTACAAACATATTTTTACAAATTGACAGTTTAGTTTTACAAACATATTTCTACTACAAATACAGTTGATATGACTTTTCAAGTAAAATTGTTGTATACGGTAAATATATCTAAAACCTAACAGTGGATAGAAAAAGCGTTGACTAGAAACAAAAAATTACTAAAGGCAGAAAAATACCTAGTGTGTTTGCAACATATTGTTTATACCGTATACTCATGATATTGTTGCAATCGAATGAAATGCAGTCTATTGTCTTTGGTCAATGGTAGTATCATTAAAGTCAATGGTAGTTGCAGCAAGGGAATCATGTGTCTCTTAAAGGTACTTAAAACTATTATTTTTGTATCTTTTCCTTCTCTAACACATCCTATGTGAAGTTGTCATAACCCGTGAATTAAATAAACTTCCTCACAGATTTGCCATCCTTATGAATCAGCCTGAAAGTTTTGCGGTATGGTATATTAAACTTGTAGTATTGAGTAGCTTGAGTTTGTTGATATTTTCTATTTATTTATTTTGATTTTAATGGTTTTTGAATAGTTACGACTAAATAAAATAGAACTTATTTAAAGTATTGCTTATCTTCATATGTCTATTGTAAAGTACTGCTTCGATGCCTTTTGCATTTTATGCTTAATGGAAAATCAAGCATTTCATTTAATTTTTCAGGTTTTGTAACCAACGAGTAAAGGGCAAATTCACATTGCAAAATGTACAGCGTACCCTTAAACTGTTGGGGGAGAAACATTGGTTGACAAGCGCTTTCAAGGGTAAGCGTTCATGAAACAAATATAAAAACAAACTCTAAAAGTCAAAACTTTTTACAAGAGCATGGGAATTCTACTTGCAGTAACCAAAAACAACGTACATTAACATCTGTACATAAAACTTCAATTTAAGATATTTAGCGAATTTCACCACGAACACAAATTGTATAGAAAATAGGTTGGAAAGACAATCATTCAAATACAACAACTTATGTACCAGACTACTGTGAGTTTAGATAATTGTAATTCCCCTGCCATTGAACCGATCTCGGGTATCCCTGAAGTCAGAAATGTTAACAGCAGCAGCCGTAGGTGCTAATTACAATTCAATGGACACCTTTACACCTCAGAGTACCACGTAATTCTATCCCGATACATTAGTTTATCTCCTTGTTTGATTTAAGAGTATACTATAAAGAGTGTAATTAATATAATTTTTGTGAAAGTTGCTAAAGGAAAAGTAGACCAAGTTGGGACTGGAATTCTTGCCAAGTTCCCCACAAAACCAGTTGTTGAACTGGGACTTTGAGACAATCGGTCATGTTTGCTAATCTGTCAAACAAGATCGCGATTTATATAGTAGTAGATTGTTCCTTTTTAGAATATGATTACGTAGTTAAAAAACTTCTCCGATTTTTATTTGCCTTCAGTTTATACAGTTTATTGTAACCATTGTAACATTATCATAATAATCAGCAATGAGAGTTCATTATAT